AGGTGATGGATTTGATCACAAGCTCAAGGACAACGTTCACATTAGAAGTAACCAAATCAATCGTCATGTGATTTCTTCCTACAGACATTACTGAGATGGCATGGAGTTCAGCCACACAGTAATGGTTCTCACGCTGCCAGAATAACATGAATTATCCCCAGGTAACTGGTCACATCTGTTGGACTCTGACTAAATGCCATGCTTCCTCTCCTCAATTCTTCTTGCCCCAGGAGATAGGTAATAATTTTGTTTTTTCAGCTTCTCAAGCAGCTGGGCGTTGCTGTTACCAGGGCATCCTGGATTCAAATGGAAATCTGAAAGCTATTGCCTGAGGGCAGCCAAGATGTTTTTAGGAAGCGTAAAACAGCATGCAATCCGCACAGGTTTGAAAAGCAAATGAGCGAAAAATTACCTTGTAAAATCTTTATCTACTTCATATTCATATTTCATCCAGGTGTCTCGATAGACCATAAACTCCATTATGGTTAAGAGAGCCATCGTTGTAAATGCTATTAAAGAAACTGGGAAGAAAGAAGAAAGAAAAAAAGAAAGAAAGAAAGAAAGAGCTAGCATAAATACAAAATCCACTGAATTTGCAAGGAGAAAAAAGGAAATGTGGAACACACTTTCTACTAAACACATTAATATATTAAGCGATGCAGTTTGAAAAGTTTCTCTACTCTGCTTCAGGACAGTGATGCAAACTCAGGAAAAATTACTCTGCTCCTAGAAGCTGTCCGCATGCGACAGCAGCCACACCCTGGGAACGGCTTTGACTGGGCGACAGTGGCGTAGCGTGGGGGGTGCAGGGGGGCCGGACGCACCGGGCGCAACATCTGGGGGGGCGCTCACACTCGCAGCTCTAAAATCCACGGGTTAGGGGGCGCAAATTACTTGCCTTGCCCCGGGTGCTGACAACCCACGCTACGCCACTGCTGGGCGACTAAACCAGGAGAGGGTGGCCAAGGAGTCTCAAACCCTCAGTGAGTTAGAGACCCCTGCATGCAAATACAGACTCTGGCGGATTGAGCAGACGAAGCCAGCAGTGGGTCCAGCAGTTAAGAAGACAGTTTCTGCATGTGCCGTCGAGGGGAAACGAGAGTCAGATTGGCCTCGAAAACCTGGGAAAGTAGCCCATCTAGGAGAAAGAAAACTCTGATCCTAAACCTCTGCTGCCTTGTGGGATATCTTGCAAGCTTCCTTCTGGCAACTCTGGCAGCTAAGCTGGTGCCAAATGTCTTGCTCTGCTTTCCTTCGGACCACATCAGCGAGGCCACGAAGGGTCTTGTCTAGGCAGCCCAGGACCTCCAGACACACTGCCCAGCCTTGTGTCCCCTAATTCATCTCCCCTTTCCCATTCTTCAGTGTGATTGATCAGTTCTCACGATGCCCCTTGGAGGATATGGAAGGGGAGCGCTTAGGTGAAAGTCACAATCGTTATTCCTTGGTCTACGCAAGCAACAATAACAAAAAGAGCCTTGCTGAATCAGAGCACAGGCCTATCTGGCCCAGGCATCCTGTTCCAATTTCTCACAGTGGCCAAACAATTATGAGAAACCTGCGAGCGCAAATACAGAACCTGCAAATTCTATATCTGAGAAATCATAAGAATGGGTGAAGGGGTTGATCTGTGGTAGGAAGGGGCACACCATATTCAGTAAAAGAAGCCCAATGAGTTCTTGCAATGCAAAAACCCGGAAAAGGTCTGCCGAAAAAAGAGAGAGGAGGAATGCTTTTTGTACCAATTACAGGTTTCAAAAAGCAAATTCTCAACCTTTTTTGCTCCTAATGAGCAAAGAGCACACATGAAAAGCACCAGAAAAGGACTAGAGGCCACTCTGTAGCACAATGTGTTCAGTTCAGGTATTCAGAAAGGAGCCTTTTCATTAAGGCTGCGTAATCATTCGGGCAAGCAAAATGTAACAATGCTAATCGTTCAAAAAGAAATCCAAGGCTGCGCACACTTCTTGGGGAGCAAGTCCTGTGGCACAACCCCCCAAAATTCTGTGGGGAGGGAGGTATTATTTGGGGACTTTGGAGTAATAGCCTGCCTGTGCAAGAGGGCGAAAGAGGCAGCCACAAATGGTGTTTCTGTTCATTTAACGCTGCCTACAAACTCTGGCAAATCCCCAGAAACTGCTACGTAGGTGAATTAGCAGCTAGCTATTTATCAAGGCCAGCACCAACATCAGGTAGGGTTTGGAAACCTGTCTCAGATGGTAGATTTTGAGATATGATGAAAGGGAAGCAAATGGCAAATCATTTATTCATTATTAAATGGAGGAGTGCCATTTGGATTTTCTATCCTGGGCATGGAAATCCCTTGGGGCTGTTCCCAAGTGCACTATCTCCTCTTGCTAGAGTCGCTGGTCTTTCCAATCAGTGCACTAAAAAACAGAATCCAACCCTTGGAATCAGAATTCATTAAGAGGTTAAAGGAGAAACAGGAGCTGAACTCTGTGAGTTTCAGAATAATTCCCTGAAATTGCAGAGTTATGAAAAACTAAAAAATAAAGTGCGAGATTGGCTTCATTATTATCAAATAATGGAGGCATACAATTTGGATAAAAAATTGGATTCCAGGTGGAAAAATCAAATTGGAAACAGAACTGTTAGATCCCAAACTAAGACTTTGTCAAGGATGTATAACTTGCTGTTGAAATGGAATACTCAGGATGAAACGGTGAAATCTGCTATGATTAAATGGGCACAAGATGTTGGACATAATATTATGTGCTGACTGGGAACAGTTATGGACCACAGGTATGAAGTTTACGGCATGTAATGCCTTAAGAGAGAATATTATGAAAATGATATACAGGTGGTACATGACTCCAGTCAAGCTTGCAAAAATCTATCATTTGCCCGATAATAAATGTTGGAAATGTAAAGAAACTGAAGGTACATTCTTTCACACCTTTTGGTGGACGTGCCCATAGGATTAAGGCCTTTCTGGGAGATGATATATGGAGTGGAAATGAAAAAGGTATTTAAATATACTTTCCGGAAAAACCAGAGGCCTTTCTCCTGGGCATGGTCCGGCCATTGGTGCCAAAGGAAGGATAGAACTTTCTTTATGTATGCCACGACAGCAGCAAGAAATACTTATTGCTAAGTATTGGGACAGACCACAAGATCTACCCACTCTGAAGAAGAATGGCACGATGAAGGTGAATGGACTTACATGGAACTGGCAGAAATGACCGGCAAGAATCCGAAACCCCAGGGAGAAGAGTCGGTGGAAGAAGATTTGGAAGAAATTTAAAGAGATTAACTACAGAATATTGTAAAAATTAATTGGAATGTAAAATGATGTTGGATGAAACTTATGTGGTTTTTAGGCTCCATAACGCTATAGGAGTAATGAAAAAACGGGGGTAATTAACATGTAAAATTTAATGTTACACATTATTTCAAGATTCAAGATTAGGGATAAAAAAGAGGGGAAGGATTTGCTGAACTAACAAATTGAACTGGAATACAAAAAGGGAGGTGTGAGGAGGTCCAGGGAAATAAGCAAATGAAAAAAAGTGATGGAATTGTTTTTTATCTATTTTTATTTTGTATTTTTCTTTTTTCTTTTACATTTTGTAAAATTCTAATAAATATCTGTAAAAAAAAAAAAGTTTCAGGATAATTCCAGGTGGGTACTGAAGCTGACTTCTGAGCAAAGGATTTAAACTAAAAGTGGACCTCAGATTACCTTCAAGATGCTATAATGCCATGCCAATGAAGTCATTCCTGTACAGTGGTACGTTGGTTCTCGAACTTAATCCATTCCTAGAGTCAATTCAACTCCCAAAACTGTTCGAAAAGCAAGGCTCGGCTTCTGATTGGCTGCAGGAGCTTCCTGCACTCAACTGGAAGCTACGGAAGCTGCGTTGGACATTTGGCTTCTGAAAAAACGTTCGCAAACCGGAACACTGCACTTTCTGGGTTTGTGGAGTTTGGGAGCCAATTTGCTTGGGAGCCAAGCTGTTTGAGTACCAAGGTACCACTGTACATGAAAAACAGGGCATTCACGCATGGCCACACTGAAGTATTTTCTGCGCACAGCTAGTCCTTTTCTGTGTTTCCTCCCTGGTGGAGAAAAGCCTGAGAATCGCAAGCATTGGAATGCACCCTGAAAGTCATCTATCCTAAACCTCTGTGCTCAATGCAAGATGCAGATATTGGCAGCCCTGACCAATCAGTGTCTCTGGTGCAACTCCTCCAGCCACAGAGAGGCAACCATCCCCCATGGTGGCCTGCCTCCCACTGTCAAACATCTGGCTTCCTGACAGGAGGTTTTCTCCTGATATTCAGCCAAGATTACTCCCCTGCAATTTCCAACCATTTGTTCTTGTCCTTCTCCTTCCCTCTGGAACAACAGAGAACAAGGCCGTTCCACCTTCTGCATACCTGAAGATCACGATCATGTCTCGCTTTAATCGCCTCTTCTCTGGGCTAAACATACCCACTCCTCGTCATTACTTGGCTTCTAAATCCTTCCCCTTCTGGTCAGCTTCCTCTGGACCTGAGTCTCTTTGTCAGTGACAATCAACCTCCAAGCCACACAAGACCTGTGCCATTCTGAACACTGCTACCAAGAACAACACTTGGAGGAAGCAGCATTTTTTTATGTTAAGGCGCTACATTTAAAACACCATTAAAGGTAAAGGGTAAAGGGACCCCTGACCATTAGGTCCAGTCGTGGCCGACTCTGGGGTTGCGGTGCTCATCTCGCTTTATTGGCCAAGGGAGCCGGCGTACAGCTTCCGGGTCATGTGGCCATGACTAAGCCGCTTCTGGTGAAGAGCAGCGCACGGAAATTGCCGTTTACCTTCCCGCCGGAGTGGTCCCTATTTATCTACTTGCACTTTGACATGCTTTCGAACTGCTAGGTTGGCAGGAGCAGGGACCGAGCAACGGGAGCTCACCCCGTCGCGGGGATTCGAACTGCCGACCTTCTGATCAGCAAGTCCTAGGCTCTGTGGTTTAACCCACAGCGCCACCCGCATCCCATTAAAACACCATTACTGTATAATAATAATAATAATAATAATAATAATAATAATAATAATAATAAATGTATTTATATCCCATCCTCCCCAGCCGAAGCTGGGCTCACAACAGTAAAATAATACAACAATTTATTGTTGATAACATGATGGACAGATATGTAAGGATATATACACTTTTATAATATGAAGAGAAAATATGTGCAGTGAAATCAGGGAGAGGAGCTGAGGGAAGTGCTTGGGGGAGGGGGGAAATAAAGGGGGGAATTATGTAGGTGATTATATGGTTTGATAATTTGTTATGTGGAAATTGAGCAATAAAAAATATTTTTTAAAAAAAAGAAGAAGAGGGAGAAAATTGGGTGCAGTTCCGAGTAGAACCAATTTGGGCCGCGGTGCCTCCATTACCTTTCTCAAACCATATTAAAACTATATTGGCAAGTTTCTTTAACGTGAAGTTTGAAAATCACTGCGCGACAGCTTGCTCTTTTAAATATTTATATCCTTTTTTTATTTTGCTAATGCAGCTTGCTAGAGCAAATGATTCAACAGCGGCACAACTGGGGTTGAACGCAATTCTTAAAAACGGAAATTAATCTGCCAGCGGGGCTTACCTGTTCCTCCAGTCGCCGTGGTCTCTATGTAGCTTTCAGGGACTTTTGGGAAGGCGTCCAACTCCTTCATTAAATTCAAAGTCTTCTTCCGATTCAGTCGCCTCATCTTCAGCAGATTCCTCAACGCCTTCCTTCATATATTCACTCTGTATTTAAGAGAGGAAAGCCCAATGGTAATAAAATTGTATTTTTTTTTTAAAAAACGCTCCTTCTGAGCTTCTGAACATTCCCTACCCGCAACTGAAATGAGGTGGCAAGATGAGCAGAAAACTCTCCGGGATTTAATAACCCCAGTTCTATAAAATTACTGAAGTGAAAAGGCACCCTGCCCTCGGATATCAGGCATCAGCATCAACGGTTATTTTCTTGGTTGGCTAAAGCAACTATCAACATTTGCAGCGTGAAATTAAATCAAGATTAAGTCTCTTTTCGAGGCACACGCCAACCTCACGCTTTTTAAAATCTCCTGCCAATGTCACTAATCTCTGTTTCACTTGAGAGTCCATGGCCCTTTTAGTCATAAGAATGGCTATGGGGACTTAACATTTTATGGGTCAGCAAAAAAGCGTCATGTGACCTAGCCCAATAACACACAACTTAAGATCCTGGAAACAGATGCTGTTATTTAACTATTCCCACAACTCTCTTGCCCTTGAGATACTCAACAAGCTCTTGTGATTTTCTTGCTGCTTACAGGTGACACCATGACTACAAATTATAACTGTGAGTGCAAATCAGGAAAAACTGAATTTGTGTGTCAACGTTAACTAAAAAAAGTTTCCTCTTCGAGTGTAAACAGATACCTGGAGCTATTTTGCTCTGACAGCCACTTTGGTGGAATCATTCATGGAAGTCGCAGTTTTCTTTTTTCCTGCCAATTATGCTGACCTTTTTCGGTTATGCCAACCTTGACATCTAACGAATATGGCAGAATAATATTGAACCTAGTGCATGTACTATGAATTTGTCCTTACAGCTAGGTTTCTTCCCAAGTGTGGAGCCTGTCTGGGGGAAAACAACCCCAAGGGGGTTGGCTGCGGATGAACAACAATCACAGCAGAAAGGTTAACCACTGCTTTTCCCCACCTGCTCGAGCTTTCATGTTACCAAGCAAAGATGGATTTAGGAACACTTGCTAACCAAGATCAGCCTTCCTCAAGTTCTGATGCTTTTAGCCTGCATTCAAAAATTCGCCAGGCACATTTCGCACCTGGCTATCGGCCACTTGCGACCATGCGGCGCATGCCTGGGGTTCCTTCAGTCTTGACTGTTTTCACACACTAATAACCCATTCCTGTAGAATTCTATCCGTTATATTTTATCTGCACAGAACGATTTTCAGGAACCAAAAAGTTGCACTGAAAAATACAACTTTCAAGCCATCTGACCCCAAAATGACAACTAGGCATTACATTTTGGCAACTGTAATCCCGGTTTAAGGAGCCATTTGGCACCTAGCTTATACATCTGAGTTTCTAGCACTGCTTCTGTCAATTCCCCTCCACCATCTCTGACCATTGGACATGCTGGCTATTGCTGGTGGAAGTCAGAATTCAACCTGAGGACATCAGGTAGGGGGTGGCTGTCCAAGGTAACACATGGCTCTGGCCAGAAGATTATATCCTGGCAAGAATATTTAAATGGTATTAATTTTTATAACATAGCTTGCATTCAGGCAGTTATGAAACAGCTATGAAGTCTCCCACATTATGCTGTTTTAGATTTCACAACCTAAAAAGCTTTTAAAATACAAAGCGTGCCATGAATTATGTAAATTCCACTACTATTTGCTTTCCTCATTTGCAGTTACCAAGCTGGGCTTAAAATCATTTTGCTGGAAGTGTCCCTGGAAATTCAAACACATTAAAACTCAAACACAATTCCATTTGTGAAAGCACAGTTTTAGAAAGAAAGAAAGAAAGAAAGAAAGAAAGAAAGAAAGAAAGAAAGAAAGAATCTAGCAAATGAACAATCTTACCTTGGCCTTCAGTTCCTCTTGCAGTCGTTTATTTGTATTGCAGAGGTCGTGCAACAGGATAATGAACAGAGATGCTGAAAGGAAGAGACTAAGGTCATGAAAGGTGTTTCAAATGCACCTAAACTCTCAGTGAGATGCTCTGTTTCCATCGCCCCATTGCATTTTGGAAACTTAATTCTCTTTGACAGCATAGCCACTGGAACTGGAAAGGTGCTGCAACTTATTTGGGCACCTGGTAATGCTGAAATTGATTGGAGTCAGAGAAGGCTAAATAATTCACAACCAGGTTTGGAGGGAAATGAAGCAGGTCAAAATAAGATAAGATAAAAAAATAAAATAAAATAATACTTTTTATTTATACCCCACCCTCCCCAGCCAAAACTGGGTTCAGAGTGGCTAACATCAAATGTATAACACATAACATAAAATCAGGCAATCAATTAAAATATATCCTAAAATCAGATCAGCATCAGAATAAAATCCAATCAGATGGCAACCCACAAATTAAGAGTTGGGGACCTTAAATGCTCAAAAAGCACAAAGGTGGGCACTAAAGTATTTAATAAATGGACAAGGCAAGTGAGAGAAAGGGAAGAGGCTAACTAAGATGCAGAAAAGCTGAGATCTTTCATATTTTGAAATCCACTATATTGGCAGGGTTCTGATTACACTGGAAGACTATCTGCAATGAAATGCTTTTATATAGACGAAATGGACTCCCATGTGGTTGTTTGGCATGGAGTTTTGTGGCGATCACACAGGGTCCCCGGACATTTGACGGCCTATCGATCCCTGTGCCACCACTGTGATCGCTTCCCCGCTGCCACCAACCCGTTACTCTTGGGTACACACAGAGTCCAGACAGTTGTTAAAATTAAATCAAATAAACAAGTTTATTTTGTAAGCATTAACAAGTATGGTTTCTCAGTTAATTTTCTTGCCAGTTTCTTATGCTTAGTTTCTTTACCGGCCTATACCTTCTGACTGATTATCTCAACTGTTTGACTGACTCCTCTTAACAGATTCTCTCACTCTCTCACATCAGACTAGCCCAGGGGTCTGCAACCTTTAAGACAAAAAGAGCCACTTGGACCCGTTTCCGAAGGAAAAAAAAACCTGGGAGCCGCAAAACCATTGCAACATTTAAAGCATGTATGCCGCTGCCCTCCGATCTGACAGCGGGCGGGAAGGTGACGTCGGGACGGTGCGTGACTAACGCACACACCGCCCCCATGCGACGTCACAGCCAGTACAGCGCCCGCCACAGTGGGGAGTGTCGGGGCGCACAATGCGCCTCCTCCCCTTGCTAGTATCCGCCCCGGAGCCGCGGCAAAGGTGTAAAAGAGCCACATGCGGCTCCGGAGCCGTGGGTTGCAGACCCCTGGACTAGCCCAACCCAAAGACTTATCCTCCCTCTCCCTTCTCTAACTCCAGACTGACTTCTTAACTCTAACGCCTCCCCTTGGGTTCCTATAGGTTAGTCATTTTACCATTAGTTAACCCTTTCCTTATGAACCCAGTATGATGATGTCACACACCTAGGAGGGCAAACGCACAAGCGGCAAGGGGGGAACAAAATCACTGATCAATCCACAGTGCACCTATAATCATGAATTACAAAGCTCTCACCTTCCCAAGCATCATTTTTAGTGCAGGATGGAACAGAATCCATCCTGGCACCAAATACACTACAAATTCTCCAGTGTTACCAAATCCCTGCTATTTATCTAATGGGCATTAGTGCAAGTCTCCAGAGCCTGTCTTCTCATGCAAGTGGAAGTCCTTAACTCACAGAGGGTTTGAGACTCACCAGGTACCCTCACCTGGCTTAGCCGCTCCCGGGGTGTGACCGCTGTTGCATGCGGACAGGTTCTAGGAGCCACAGGTGAGAGCTGAGGGTCTCCCGCCAGAGGCATTACCCCTCTTAAACCTGAATCCTAGATACTGCAGGGACTAAGTGGCTTTAAAGGGGGGCAGAAATGAAGCAGCATTCTAAATAAGTATTGATTAGCTGGACTCGTTGACCACATGACACCACTTTGCCAAGCTTAACAGAAACATAAATGTAAGAAGCCAGTAGACCTGTTATTAGAGAAAGGCTCTGATCCAATTAAAGGTTAGTCATGGCTTTCATTAAAAGCAATGGGATTTAAATTGGCTGTGACTCACATGCTCCATTGGGACACAATGGTGGCTAACTTTAGCAGGCCAAAGAGGTTTATTCCGTAGCCTTTCTCCTTCCTGTTCTTTCGAAGCAAACGGAAATCAGATCACAGATCAGAGAATTCTCAAGGGAGTGTAATTCATGCCCTCTCACACATTTGCTGCAAAGCATTAAATCGCGTGCTAGTTTCCACTGCCCCGCTGCAAGGCGACACTTGACTCCATAACTCACCCTTAGTTCCACTACAGCAGCACCCACAGGTAGCGCAGAGCTGGAGAACAGATCTATGCAGTTGAGGGCTGAGCCATGGACACAGGTGGTGACAATGGCTCTGTCACCCTAGTACAAGGGCAGGAAACCAGCACTGCTGAACTCTGATTCCCATCAGCCCCAGACATCCTGCCCAACAGTCAGGGATGATGGGATTTGAACTCCAGCAACATCTGGAAGATCACAGGTTCCCCATCCCTGTCCAAGCATAAGCATGCACCACCAAGAAGCTACAGCAAGTCTTGGATGCTAGCGTCCTGCAGCCACGTTCAGGACAGGAGTCAACGCTTGCGACCATTGTTGCATCAGAAGCATCCGCTGGCCCTATAGAAGGCGGAAAAGGTAAAGGGGCCCCTGACCGTTAGGTCCAGTCGCGGACGACTCTGGGGTTGCGGCACTCATCTCGCTTTACTGGCCAAGGGAGTCGGCGTACAGCTTCCGGGTCATGTGGCCAGCATGACTAAGCCGCTTCTGGCGAACCAGAGGAGCGCACAGAAACATCGTTTACCTTCCCGCCAGAAATACCTTACCTATTTATCTACTTGCACTTTGACGTGCTTTCGAACTGCTAGGTTGGCAGGAGCTGGGACTGAACAACGGGAGCTCACCCCATCACGGGGATTCGAACCGCCAACCTTCTGATCGGCAAGTCCTAGGCTCTGTGGTTTAACCCACAGCGCCACCCGTGTCCCAGAAAGGTGGAATGAAGCTGCAAATTCCTACCACGCACAGGAACTCTCTTCCTACCTCTGGAAAGCATTTGTGAAAGAAGCAATTTTCATGCAGTGAATTCAAAAAGGCAGTAAGCAACGTTATAGTGGATTGGGGGCCTGCTATACTACTGTGCTAACGTGCCCAACCATAATTACAATGTGAGTCAGTTAAAACAAACAGTTCTGGACATTAACTTTTCAAAGTCAAACAGGAATCCTGTTCTGCAACCATCTTACCTGCCTCCCCCAACAAAACACACTCCTCTGCCACGGCAGCCTATCAGCAGCTGCCAAATTATCTTTAGCCACCTATCAGACAAAGCCAGGTAGGAGGAAATGTGCCTGTCACAGGAACCTAGGAATTCTTTTTTCATTCCTCTCTCTCTCTCATCTATTTCTCAGCACTCAACCTAAGACTCCAATATTTAACAAGAGACCAACTCGCTACTCCTTTAGCAAGCAAAGTATTCTTGCAATCTGTCAAGTAACCAAGGCAACAGGTTTCATTATCGGACAAATCTGAAGTCTGTTTGACGAAGCATTTGCACCCGAACTCAATGCAAGTTACTCCCAAAGTAATGTGTACATGGGATTACATTGGAAATCCAGTGGATGGACACTGAAATATATTTACATTATATATACACACACACACAAACAAACACACACACACATTACATATCTGTTCTAAAGACCAGATTGCAAACCCATTTCTTGCAAGAATTGTAGGCTGAACATGTTGCTTCAATAGCAGAAATGAATACTGTGATTTAAAAGACATTAACATCCCCCAGCAGACATCCTTTTATATAGTATTGGGTACTGATTCGGGAAGAGAAGATAACGGAATGATGAAAGAATGAATCAAAGGGGAAGCCACTAGGAATAGCAAATTTGCATAACTAAACACTTTTTGCATAACTAATTTGCATAATTAAACACTTTTAAGAGGAGGGAGAGGCAAGGAACAGGAGAGAAGTTTATAAAAACTCTCAAACTCATAAAAACTGCAAAAATTCCAGGCAAGATTGAAGTGTATATGAACAGTTCATTGGCCACATCTTTATACTCTCAGAAACCTAACGGTTATTAAAGCAACAAGGAAAGGACAAGTGCCCTCAAGGAATTTTCATAAATGATGACCTTCAATTTCGAATGTGAATTAAATCAGTTGTTATTATGGGGGAGAAGAATTAAAAGGAATTTTCACACAGGGCACTTTTTGCCTCCCTTATACTGTCCCCCCCCCACAGGAATAGTATTAATGCAAGACAGAAGCCATTTAACATTTTAGGATTTACGTTTGACCTTACAAACCAGTTTATTTTCACAGACTGAGATTTAGAACAGGTCTGGGGTCATATGCAACGCTGTGCATCCACTGGCGCAAGAGTCCTTTTGCTAGCGCAAGTCTCTTTTTCAATGTTGAGCATTAAGAGAAATGCACCTCAACGGGTCTGGTGGAGGAGCCTATGCACAAGAACATGGCTGTAGCCAGTATTTTTGATAGAAGGAGACAACCTCAGATTTGTCTTGATTTGTATTGATTTAGCTGCCTCCCCTCCCCCCACCACCACCTATGCCCACGCACCAGAGCATATTCCAGTGATGTTGCAAAGCCATCTTCCCATTTCCCAGAAAAGTTCTACACGCGAGATCCACTTTCTCAAAATGCCCCACTAGTAATGGAACAAGTCCAGCGCTGACTAACTGAAAACAACCGTGGTGAATACACGACACGCTTCGCACTGGGGTCTTTTTCGCACCCCATCCATCACAGGACACCTGTGTTCGCACACAGCACAGGCAAGGAAGGAGTTGCTGCCGGTCTCTAACATGTCAAACCCTGTACACGCTGCTTGCTCGCGCGTCCCCACGTTCTAGTTGCTCCCGGTCTCTAACATGTCAAACCCTGTGACAAGCTGCTTGCGTGCGCGTCCCTACGTTCTAGATTCGAAACCCGCTTCGGCGGCGACGCGATCCCGAAAGCCCTTTCCGTTCTGATCCGCAGGAGCGGCATTCACACGTGCGGAAAGACGCGCGACCAGCGTCACGTGTGAAAGCGTCACGGGGGCAAAAGATTTAAGAGTCGGGGAAGCCACGAACATGGGAAAGGGGGAGGGGGATATGTGTACCTCGACTCCCCTGCTTGGGGGGTGGGGTGTCTGCGCGCCTCGGCGGGAGCGAGGGGCATCCAGGTGGGCGAAAACGGAGCGGGAGCTCGGCGATCGCGGCGGGTCAGGCGCCCGTTCCCCCTCCGCCTCCCGCGCTCAGCTTCCCCGCAGCATCTCCACCCGGTCCAGAGCGAGCCCGGCACCTCCTGCCCGTCTTCGACGGCGATCGGGGCGGCGGAGGCAGCAGGTGAAGCGCCCGGCGAAGGCGGCGATGCCAGCCAGCCGGACCGATTCGGAAGCGGCTCAGGGCACCGCCGGTCGCCCCGCCCGCGCTCACCGGAAGCGGCGCGCCCGGAGGGGGAAAGAAGCCGGATCGGAAGTGGGCGCCTCTCTAGCCTCTACCCGAGGCTCTATGGTAAGGTTCCGCGCCCTCGTCCGGCTCGTTTTTCGAAACGCGCGGCCGTCCGCAGCGCAAGAGTCTTCCCTCCCGGAGCCAGCAGGGGTCGCTGGCGGCCTGTGTGCGCAGCCCAGTGCGCCGGGAGAGAAATGTTCCCTGTGGCGCAATAGATCAGCGCGTTTCGGTTTTGGGTTGCGGGCAGGGATTCCCCCCAATGCTTTTAGCAGTTCTTATTTTTATCTTTTACTTTTATCCTTCAGCCACCTTGAGACAGGCTGGGAGAAAGGCGAGGTATATATACACAGTATATATTTATATACATATTATATATATATATATTTGTGTGCATATATATATATATATATATATACACACACACACATTATATTGGCAGTTTGTCATTCAGGAAGAGGAAGAGTCATGTCTTCACTTATTCCTTCTGAAGATAAGGCTGTAACATTAGCAGCTGTGTGGAGAGGACGTGAGCCTAGAGCCTGCAAAATGTCAAAAATTGCAATTTTTAAAGCGCATGGGACTCAGAGTCCCATGGGAAGTTGGGCAGCAAAAGCCAAAGCCCAATTTTTACAATACAACATCATCGTATTCCATGTTATTAGGTCAACTTAGAACTTAGAAAGCCCTTGAAAAGTAGCATGTTTGGGAAGTATAGTGATAGGAAAGTCGCTATTGTCTTCTACAAGGGTGCAAATTCACCGTTGACTGCAGATGTGACACCGCAAGAGCATGCACACAAAGCTTGCCACAGACTTCACTCCTGACATGACTTTTGTAGGCCGAAAATGTCGCTTCTTGCTCAGCACAGAAGCTAATGCAACACGTTCCCGAAATGCATATTGCTGGTAAGATGGAGGGAAAGAAAGGTTTTTCCTCTCTCCACCCTTGATGTTTCTGCTGCCGGTATGTTGATGTGATAGGAATTTTGAAGTCTTAGATATATGGTAATGTTCATAAGTGTACCAACCAAGCACATACATAGATCAGCACAGGAAGACCGACCTGGAACCATTTTGATTCCTAAACTGAGCAAATGTTTTCTCTGCAAGGTCAAAGTGGGAAACCTCCCCATTGTCTTTTCCCTCACAAATCCTGTCTTAAGGGCATGTCTGTGTTTGAATAGGGTGTGAGCCTGTGACATGGCCCAGGAACTAAGTATTTATCATTACAAAAGACTGGCCAGGCTCCCCAGGAAATCCAATCAAGTAACCTGCCAGACAGGAGATAAACAACGACAGGAGAAAAACAACATTCAAATTTCTGTTTTAGATCGCCTTTTCTGTGAGGTAGGTGTGATGTATCTGAGGGGTGGTCTTAGGTTACACCCCTTCTGTGATGTATGTATGATGTTTCTGGGGGTGGTCTTGATCTACAGGGTGGCAATTTCAAAAGTCTTTATAAGGCCTTGCATGCCATTTTTCTGGGTCCTCCTCCTTTCCTGCGGGTGAGGGGAGCACCCGGTTGCAACAGATCAATAAAGATCAAGCTTACTAGCTGCTTTTGCTTCTCAATATTCTCTGATTGGCCTCTGTTATTTTCTCCTACCAATAGGGAACCTATGTAAGGACTCTATATGGGCTCTTGGATACCCCATAAGGGAAAAGGGCAATTTTTATTTACAACATCGTCACTTCACAGTGTTATAAGAAAAATACCTCTAATTTCCGTACGGGGTATCTAGAGCCCATATACAGTCCCTCAGGAGATCTCTATCGGTCAGAGAGAAAGCAAAGGCCAACCAGAGTATATTGAAAGCAAAGCAGCTAGTAAGCCTGAGCTTTATTAAAGGAAATGAACTGTTGCAACAGGGTCCCCACACGCAGGACCCCACATGCAAGCCCCTATGAAGACTTTTGAAATTGCCCCACCTTGTAGCCCAAGGCTACCCCCCAAAACATCATACATACATCACAGAAGGAGGTGGTCTCCAGCAGAAATGTGAGCGTGTTGCTTCTCTCCTGTCTGCCAGGATACCTGATAATGCCTTTCTTGGTTGTATTTTCTGGGTAGCCTGGCCAATCCTTTGAGATGTCAAATACTTTAGTTCCTGAATCTCTTACGCATATTGATAAGGTGCTCAGCTTAACAGATACTTGCCTGGCTGTATTTGCAGGGAGGTGTAAGCCCCTACAGTCCAAAGACAACTGGAAAGCTTTTCCCTTTTCCTTCCTCCTTGCAGAGAAAAAATTGAGGTCCATTTGGGAAAGTCAAAATGGCTTCAGGATTGTTCCCCTGTAGTATTTCAGACACGTGCTTTATATACTTACGTATTTGTTTGCCTTCTGCATTTATAAACATTCTATTTTGGAGACCTTAGAATTCTTATAACAACAGCCTCGTTGACAAATCAGTTAAGCCCCAGGATTTGGCATTTAATCCAATTTAATATCCATGACCTAAGTGGGACTAAAGTTAAAAGTTTAATCACCAAACTCTCTTAACTCTTGGTATTGATGTAAGATTAGGAGGGGATTGAGGAGAGTTAATGGGGCCAGAATGACTTCATTTTATATAGTCCTTGCATAGTTGTGGGGCTTCCTGCTGAAATCCTGTAACTTTTCATATCACAAATCATGGAAGATGAGGTCATTCGCTGGAAAGGCCTAATTCAAACTCTTAGCCATTTAGAATAATCAAATTGGAAGGGACCACTTCGCCACCGCCGCAGCTAGAACCTTATTGGCACAAAGGTGGAGAACAAGGATAGTAACCACTAAGGAAGAATGGCAGTGTAAAATGTTCAAATATACTGAACTGGCTGGTCTGACGAACAGGATAAGAGAAAATGAAGATAAGGAATAAAAGGAGGAATGGAAAATGTTTATGGAATATTTTGAGAACCAGTATAAACAAATACATAGCTTAGCAGGTCTTGAGTAAATCCAGCAGAGTTGAAATAGATAGAGTTTTTAAATAGATAACAAATTGGTCAATGATTAAAAAAAGATGTGGATTATTCGGAATGGTTGAAAAGCAAAGGAACCAGGAAAAGGGTGGAAGGGAAGTCATATGGTCTATGCACACATGCTGTATTTGGTACGAAGTTGTAAGTGGGACAGGGGGAGGAGAGGGGGGTTAAATATGCTCTCTGTTCCTGTTTTTGAAAATGCAAATAAATAAATAAATAAATAAATAAAATAGGGAAGGACCAAGAGAGTCATCTAGTCCAGCCCCCTGCGACACTCGAACCCACAACTTTGAGATTAAGAGTCACATGCTACACCGACCGAGCCATCCCTTAGTGTCTATAATGTTCTGGTGGAAGGGGGATTGTCTCACATTTGTTGTGCTTTGTTGCCAGAGCACCTCTCAAATGTTGCACGCTGAGGAAATGTTGCACCCTGAGGAAGCATCACAGAATAACTAAGAAACTGCAAGGAAGCATAGCTGGACCATATAAATCCACCTTCGATGCTCTACTGTTGTGTCAATTACATGTTGCAGAATATACTAGCTAAAGATGCCCAAAGCCAGACATCCCCAAACTCGGCCCTCCAGATGTTTTGGGACTACAACTCCCATCATCCCTAGCTAACAGGACCAGTGGACAGGGATGATGGGAATTGTAGACCAAAAACATCTGGAGGGCCGAGTTTGGGGGTGCCTGCCCAAAGCTAACAATGTTTTGAGGGTGCTTGGTGTCCTCTGGAAATCTGATTTGGGGCAGTGACATTGGCTTTCTGCTTGATAGTGTCTACCTATGCTCAATTTGTATTTGTGTAAATGAAATGAGAGCTGGACCATAAGGAAGGCTGATCACCGAAGAATTGATGCTTTTGAATTATGGTGCTGGAGGAGACTCTTGAGAGTCCCATGGACTGCAAGAAGATCAAACCTATTCATTCTGAAGAAAATCAGCCCTGAGTGCTCACTGGAAGGACAGATCGTGAAGATGAGGCTCCAATACTTTGGCCACCTCATGAGAAGAGAAGACTCCCTGGAAAAGACCCTGATGTTGGGAAAGATGGAGGGCACAAGGAGAAGGGGACGACAGAGGACAAGATGGTTGGACAGTGTTCTCGAAGCTATCAGCATGCGTTTGACCAAACTGCGGGAGGCAGTGGAAGACAGGAGTGCCTGGCGTGCTCTGGTTCACGGGGTCACGAAGAGTCGGACATGCCAAATGACTAAACAACAACAACAAAAATGAACTTAAATAATACAATAATCCTCCATTGACCTTCTTCCAGTGGAAACCAAACCTGGGCAAGCTCTGCACCCCTGGAAATTTTCAACATTCAGAGAAGCAGGGTGCATATAAGGTTATTTACTGTTTTACTGTAGCTGAATGCAGAAAAAGGTGTCATCCACAAACCATCTGGGGTGAGGAATAGCCAATGGGGCAAGCTTTATGGGTTGCCTAAGTGGACTAATTTCAAATCAATGGTTTCACAGTTATGTCCTGTCTCTCCATTTTGGTAGCCTTTAAAATACCTTTGAGATTTCCAGCAAAAGCACCCGCTCTCAACTTTTTACTAATTTCAGGTGCCTCTTCCTGGTAGGGTTAGCCGGCACTTAGCAAAGCCCCCGCTCTTTGCTGGGGCACAGTCATTCAATAAATGGAGACTATTAAATGTTAATTTTTTTAATAGTAGAAAAACCCCAAAACTACTGGACCCTGGAACAGTATTCTTCTGTTTCCTGACAATTTTACAAATAAATTTATCATCTGCAGAAATCTCTTCTTTCTAATGTGAAAGGTCTTGTCCTTAAATATCTCCACCTGCGCAAATTGGCTGAGTGTGGCTTGTTCCAGCAGGTCATACTGAGTATATTTGCCTGTACAAATGTTCTCTAAGCATGTTGACTCCTGTATACCAGGTGTGAAATCGCTTTGGAAATCTTCAAAGGGGATTTCATGCTCCTTTTCTCAGTATGAAACATTTCATTTGCTCAGTTAGAAGGAGGTGTAATAATCAAGAGACCTGACACAATACTACATTATTTTTTTTAAAGTATTGCCATTTCTTAGCACTGTTTATTGAAACCCCTGCAAAATGTAATGCTGATTGAATGACGTTGGTTTTGTTGTAGAACAAAATTGCTTAAAATGCAATTTGTTGTTTTCCACAGAATCTGCAATATCTATGGGGCATATGGAGTATGGATTTCACTTCTCTCTACATGCAATTTACACAGCTATTGAGACTTTTCCATGTGCAGCAGAGGTGAAGAAACACAGAACACATAAGAATGCAAGGACACAGAGTAAGTTTGATGACACACTATAGAGATGGAGAATTTGACACAGGGCTGCCAAGATGGTACCATCCTAAGATGTTGTTGGGACTACAGTTCTGTTGCCTCTTCGGTGTGACAGGTCACAATTGTGCCAGTCTGGATGACTCTTGAGTTATTTGTCACCCAGCTTGGCACAAAGGTTCCCGAGGTGGAGGTGGTGGTCTTTGTCTATGTTTGGACATTGGGCGCCATTTTGAATCAAGATGGCGGACTGAAATTTGACTTTGGTGTGATAGTTACAAACAAGGCTGCAGGAGGTGGGGGGTTGGGGGGTTTTCACCTACGTTTGGTTGCCAACAGATGCACTCAGCAGCAGTGTGTGTGTGTGTGTGTGTGCGCACGCATATGTGTGCATATGTGTGCACAATCACAGCCCCTCCACTCACAAATTACACTACCCATTTAAAAATCACAGATTTTGGGGTTTCTTGGAATTCCTAGGCAGCACCAAGAACTTTCTGCTAGTCTAATATAATAGATCTACTATAGGTTTTGGAAAGTTTTTTGTTTGTTCCCTAAGCATTTGGATACCTCTTAAAGAGATCGTAACCAAAGTTTGCATGATGATTCCTGAGATCAAGGAGCAGATTTTAATCTAGGTCAATTAGATGCCGTTTTGAGTCCCAATGACGGTCTGAACCTTTCAAAGTGCTCTGATTTTAACCACTGATTTCAAAACACTTTAAAAAAAAATTCTTAGAATTCATGAGCAATGCCGGGTTCGAGGCCGTTAGTGAATAATATGCTATAAATCTATTAGTGCTGTTCTGAAAACCTTAATTCACATGCTTCAATGGCGTTTCCCCCTAATTACTTCTATAACTAAGTGAAAGTAATGACACCTCCCACTTTACCTACAGATGAATCCAATGCTGTCTTCAATACACGCATCTGCTTTTGCCAAAAAAATCCAGGCAGGATAGCTTAACAAATCACCTCCTTGGCAGGTTTTAGACTAGCTCTCATTTTCATCTACACCCAGGTGCCTGAGGGGGAAACACTTTTCTTTCTTTTAGCTCTATCTGAGACTTACGACTTTACTTCCCTGCCTTCATTTTGCTGTACCCGTTTCTACAATCGCTTATAATTCCAAGACCAGGTAAGACATTTTGTAAGCTTCAATGTTCTTCCTGAGTTGTTGGAATATGGGATGTCTGCATTAAGCCAGCTAAGCTAGCTTCTCCTATAAGGAGAGAAAACACTTTAAATGACCACCAGCTTGTGCTGTGTTCTAAGTATTGTTAGACATACAGTACAAGAATCTTAATGTCAAATGTCAGCTTAAGATAGCGAGATAGCAGAAACTTATTGTTACAGCTGACATACCAAGCTTTCTAACGTTGCCATGTTGTTCAGTTGTGGTCCTGCACAAAGTGTTGGGTCTTTGGTACTTTGCAACGATACTTCCTTTGGATTTCCAGCTTATGAGGGGAATCTTTGCTATGTTTCAGTATTACTAGCCACAACAGCTGTAAACTTTCTTTAGAAATGGTGCTATGAGGACTCTTCAGCCAAAATGATTCAAAACTTAATATTGTAGAGCAGGTGTCTTCAACCTTTTCAGACCCAGAACCCACTTTAAACCCAAACATGCATTTGGGGACCCGTTTCTTAAACTTTTACCATATATTTGAATGGTGAGTAGTGGTTCCGTTGTGATCCACTTTGCATCAGGCCAAGATCCACTTGTGGGTTCTGGCCCACCACTTGAAGACCAGTGTTGTAGAGATCTCATTATTTTGTCGAATGTAATTTTGCCATTAGTGCTAAGTGGTTCTGTGAGAGTGAAAAGTCTAGTACAGTGGTGCCTCGCAAGACGAACGCCTCACAAAACGAAAAACTCGCAAGACGAAAGAGTTTTCCGTTTTTGAGTCGTTCCGCAAGACGAATTTCCCTATGATCTTAAAATGCTGGCGGGCGGCAGCGAAGCCTTCGCTCCCCCCCGCCTGCCTTCCCGGGACAGCGGACACTTCTCCGCTGTCCCGGGGTTTTTTAAAATGCTGGGGGTGGGAAGAAAAGCCCTTGTCCCCCCCCCCAGCCTTCAGAAGAGGTCGGGGGACAGACTGTCCCTGGACCTGGTCTGAAGGTGGTTTCCATAGGAATGCATTGATTGATTTTCAACGCATTCCTATGGGAAACCGTGCTTCGCAAGATGAAAAACTCGCAAGAAGAAAAAACTTGCGGAACGAATTAATTCCGTCTTGCGAGGCACCACTGTATAAAGTTCTCATGTTTTCTGTTAATAATTTTCCTCCCACCACAAAGAAAAATAAAAGAAACATTGGAAGAAAGTATTATATTCTTAGCACCCATCCTGTGCACTTATTTGAGCAAGGATGCTCCTTTCTGAATCAGTTGGAATCAATTCCTCATCTTAGCAAAAAAAAGTACATAATTACTTTCTCGTGGTGGTCCTTATTTCTTTCCACTGAAAAATACAACATATTTCCTGTAAGAATCTTTTGCTTCCTTTTGAACAAAGTTAACATGTTTATTAATGTGCCAGGAGTTCCCAAGAGCTACATATAAACTTGCAGAAGAAGCTGGAGTTCAGTTACAAATGCCTTTATCCACCACATGAGACTTTGACAGGGGTCATTTTGCATTTTTCTCTTTGTGTGGTGCAGAAGTATTGTATCACTGTAATTAATAGCACTGCTTTTCCTTTAGTATTGCCATCCTGATTCATCTTATCAGTTCTAGGCTTGAGACCTCAATCATTTGCATAGTTCCCCATCAGAACAACTTCTCCATTTGTTTCAATATATACAGTAATAATGAATATTTTGTGTGTGGCTTTCTTTCCCTCGCTTGAAATTTATTGACATCTATTCTGCTTTTAAGAGATATTTGAACACTTTCTTTTTAATAATATTTTTTAATTAAATTTTCTGTTTTACAATTTCAAATAAGCATTTTACAAACTTTAGAATATCCAACGACTTCCCTTCTTTTTCCCCCATGGTTCATTTTTCATATCCTATATCCTTGCATATTTTAGTATAACCATTCAAATCAATTTTCCACTTTTACATCCATCAAGAATTCTTTTCTCTGTTGAATTTATCTTAATGCTGCCAGCATTTTCAGCTATACACAGTCATTTTCCATGTACTCAATAAATGTTTTCCAATCTTCTTTAAATGTATGTTCTTCATGCTCTCTTCTTCTATATGTTAAATCTGCAAGTTGTGCATATTCTGTCAACTTAAGTTGCTAGTGCTCTTTAGTTGGGACCTCACTCACTTTCCAGATCCTTTAACACTTTCATACCTGGAATGGGATGGTTTTCTAGTAAGATTAAATAATAAGACTATTTTACGATTAAATTTAAGAGATCTGCATGTTGAAAGAATTAGCCTCTTCCTTGGGTTCATGGTTATATTTGTAAATGGCGAGACAAGTGATTTGGTGTCATTGTGTGAAATGTCATGTGACACGCCACCAATGGCCGCGGCATCCACTAGTCATGTGCCTAATGGGTGTTGCCTAGGGAGCTGTGACCTACAGCAGGCCCTTCTCTGTGGTGGGATCCCAATGATGGAACTCCCTCCCTGGTGAGCTGTGTTTGTCCCCATCTCAATCACCTGAAGACATTTCTGTTCACCCAGGCGTTTGGTACTGAAAGGCGATGGGTTTCCTGCTAGCTTAGAACCACTGCGCTTGGATATATTGCTGTGTTAAAATGTGTTTTTAAGCATTTTAAAATTTCGTAATGCTTTTAATTGGGTTGGATGGCAAGCCGTGGGCTTAGGAAGGGTGGGGCAGACATTTAAGTAATTATAATGTAGCAGCTTCATGAGACTTTCAGGGATAACTCCCAGACCACATGGCTCACTGTTTGTGTGTGCAGAGTAATAATAATAATAAATTTTATTTATATTCCGCCCTCCCCAGCCGAAGCTGGGCTCAGGGCGGCTAACAACAATCAGTAACTTCCTTTCCAACAGTGCAGAAATCCATCTATGTCCATGCAATATAAACCTCTATGGGAGAAAAAGCAGGGACAGTGTGGAAACTAAACATGATGTCAAATTCATATTTACATATTTTTAGATGTGTTATTATTACTTCTTTTTATTTATGTCCTGTAATTTATATACCACTTGATTTTAGAAAAAATCAAAGCAGATGACAAAAGATTTTGCAGGCACAAAATCAATGTACTAACCCAGCTCCTATATCTTACACTTCCCTGGGAGTAAGCTCCATTGATCTCAGTGGAGCTGACCGTTGAGCAGCAGTTTAGCTAGGTGCTTAAAATATTTCGGGCATAAACATAAATCTGCACAAAATTAATCTATGAGTTTATTATAAGTACATTTATACATTTGCTATCATTGAAAACAAAAAACCACAGAGCCTAGGACTTTCCAATCAGAAGGTCGGCGGTTCGAATCCCCGTGACGGAGTGAGCTCCCGTTGCTCGGTCCCTGCTCCTGGCCACCTAGCAGTTTGAAAGCACGTCAAAGTGCAAGTAGATAAATAGGTACCGCTCCGGCGGGAAGGTAAACGGTGTTTCCGTGCACTGCTCTGGTTCGCCAGAAGCGGCTTAGTCATGCTGGCCACATGATCCGGAAGCTGTACGCCGGCTCCCTCGGCCAGTAAAGCGAGATGAATGCCGCAACCCCAGAGTCGGCCACAACTGGACCTAATGGTCAGGGGTCCCTTTACCTTTTTAAACAACTGCTAACTCCGATTTGAGGACCCTGATCCTCTCCCCCAGCCCCAAGCAATTTTTTCTGGTCCTCCAAGAGCCTACCAATTTCGATAATAGCAGTAAAAAGAGGTTGGGGGAATTAAAATGGAACTGGGTTGGAACAGAACTCGGTTCTGGCACTTCTCAGGTGGGCACCATTGCCATTCTGAGAGAACAAGGGAGACGTTCATGGTGAGTTCCGGCACCTGTTTTTCTACAAAAAGCAGCGCTGATTTTGGACACATGATAATAATGTTGGGAAGCCTTAAACATACTAACGTTTTCCATTGCAGGTCCCACCACCGATGCTCAGGCAAAGGGGGACGTCACAAGGACAACGGCCGGTTTTTAGCCTAGATCTGAAAGATGCCCACCAAGAAATGGCTCCCGCTGGCCATCCTTTTCAAGCTCAGTAAGTTGAAGGACTTTAAATACGCTCCGTCATTTCCCCTGTTATCTCTCCATTTGCAGCTCCTTCGGAACGCGGGTGACCAGCCCGCAGCATGGACGCCACTAGTCAGGCAGTCAGTTTTATTGCACATAGCCAAAGGCTGCTGCAATGTACACAGAATCATTCAACAATTAAAAGAAAATATGTTGGATTAATACAAAAAATTTAAAACATTTATATTATCAAGACATTACCTATGGTACCTTAAAATACAGGTTAAGACATTAAACAATAAATTTTATAGGCTAAAATTGTCACATGGCCACTAATATATTAAAAAATAATGTTAATTAATACAATGTGCAATTATATTCGGAGTTTGATGATAAAGATAGAATATAGCTTGATGTAGATACAGTGGTACCTCTGGTTAAGTACTTAATTTGTTCCGGAGGTCCGTTCTTAACCTGAGGTACCACTGTAGGGTCAAATAAATTCAACTCCTTTACAGTTGGTGGCTATCTTGGCTATATAATTTGCTCTAATTTTCCTAGTGGCAGTTGCAAAGAGTGCTACACGCTAGGTCACATACTTATCTGTGTCTGCGAGGAGATATACAGTGGTACCTCGGGTTACATACGCTTCAGGTTACATACGCTTCAGGTTACAGACTCTGCTAACCCAGAAATAGTGCTTCAGGTTAAGAACTTTGCTTCAGGTTGAGAACAGAAATCGTGCTCCTGCGGCGCAGCGGCAGCAGGAGGCCCCATTAGCTAAAGTGGTACCTCAGGTTAACAACAGTTTCAGGTTAAGAACGGACCTCCGGAACGAATTAAGTTCTTAACCGGAGGTACCACTGTATATGCATTTTTGTACGAATTAATTGGCTGGAGAATTGCATTGCAAAATTCAAAGGTATGCGGATTTCAAAAGATAGTTCTGTTTTAGTTAACATATTGTTTTGGATGGTGCAAATTACCGGCATAGAACTGAGCCAGCTTCTATATGTCTTGCTCCATTCATCCCTTCCATTCCATACCCTGGGTTTCATTTCATGTTATACAGTATGTGTAGCAGAATCCTTTTTCAAAAAGAATACTAATGTTTAGGGGGCTGCCCTCTGTATTGTTTCAGTTCTGTTGCATCTATCCTCTTTGCAGTAATAATATCCTTGTGCTAAAAAATTGAGCAACTATTGTGAGACAGACGAGGCTCCCTGGCATTAGAACTGGCCTTAGATGGATAAAAAACAGGAAAGTGGACTTGACTCCCAGATAGACACACAATGTGTTGACTTTTAGAAGTGTGTCTTGAGAAGTAAACAAAATAATTGGCAGCTTCTGTGCTTATCTCATCATAAGCGTGGAGCAGGTGTTTCTAAAACTGTATGAAAAACATCTCTAGATTTCTTTGCAACCTGTACAAACTTCTAAGACGCTCACATGCCCCATCATAACAAGCTGAGCCAAGAAGCACTAAGAAGAAGAAGTCTGTAAGGGCCCCAGACCTGTTCAGTGTTTCAGCTGAGAACATGTTTCAACAAGCAAAATCCCTGAAAGGAAAGTTAGCTCAGTGGAAGAAAAATGCTCAAAGTCATTTCAGGCAAGGTCTTTGTCCAAAGCAACTGGGTTCCATTTTTTCTGGGCTCTCCCAGCTTCAATCAGTGTCTGGAAAATGTGGCTGTTTATGGGATTCAGTTAGAACCGGTTGAAGCCTTCGGAATGGTGGGCTTGCCGTCAAGTTGTTGTCATGCCGTTTATTACATTTCACATCACCGGAAATCTTACAGTTGAGGTTTGTTTATTCTCCTCATTGAAGATCAGAGTCCAGACTTCATTGTAGACTTCACACTGGCCATTAGCCGGGGATGTTTTGAAGTTGAAGGATAACAACACCTGAAGGGCTACAGGTTCCTCATCCCTGTCATATGTACCGTAGATTCCGGCGTATTAGGCGACTGGGCATATAAGACGACCCCCAACTTTTGCTGTTCAATTTTAGAGTTTTAGAGTTATAGAGTTTGAGCGCCGCCGGGGCAGAGCGTGCACCCCTCTGCTGCCTCTGCCATTGCAGAGTGGCCGCCGGGACCACATAACACCGGTTCTGAGAGATCTGCATTGGCTCCCAGTACATTTCCGAGCACGATTCAAAGTGTTGGTGCTGACTTATAAAGCCCTAAACGGCCTCGGTCCTGTATACCTGAAGGAGCATCTCCATCAGATGTCAAAGAGATAAATAATTACCTGACATTCAGAAGACATCTTAAGGCAGCCCTGTTCAGGGAAGTTTTTAATATGTAATGCTGTACTGTTTTTAACACTGATTGGGAGCCGCCCAGAGTGGCTGGGGAAACTCAGCCAGATGGGCGGGGTATAAATAATAAATTATTATTACTATTATTATTATTATTATTATTATTATTATTATTATTATTATAGCAGCCCGACGCAAGGCGTTGGCGGGTGGGTGGGTGAACACCGCGCTCGGAAGGACTTTCCGCGTCCCCTTCTGTGGGGAGGGAGGAGGAGCGACGGCAGAAGGGGCGCCTCTGCTCACCGGATCCCTCTCCTCCTCCCCAATGTGTATACCCGGCGTATAAGACGACCCCTGACTTTTGGGGTGATTTTCCAGGGATAAAAAGTCGTCTTGTACACCAGAACATACGGTAATGATGAATCAGGCATGGGTGCAGGGGTTATTTAGAAAGATCAGAAGGCAGAGGGTACCACATACTTGCATATTTTAGCTACCGTATAGGGAAGACCATATCAGATTAATTCCATGCATGTTTGTTTTATATCCCACCTTTCTCCCAGTGCAGGACCCAAGGTGGCTCACAGCATGAGCTAAGCACAGATACAGCTAAAAAACATACCTATCAGTTATACATATTAAAGCACATGTAACGTACTAAACAAGGGACGCGGGTGGCGCTGTGGGTAAAAGCCTCAGCGCCTAGGGCTTGCCGATCGAAAGGTCGGAGGTTTGAATCCCCGCAGCGGGGTGCGCTCCCGTTGCTTGGTCCCAGCGCCTGCCAACCTAGCAGTTCGAAAGCACCCCCGGGTGCAAGTAGATAAATAGGGACCGCTTACTAGCGGGAAGGTAAACGGCGTTTCCGTGTGCTGCGCTGGCTCGCCAGAGTAGCTTTGTCACGCTGGCCACGTGACCCGGAAGTGTCTCCGGACAGCGCTGGCCCCCGGCCTCTTGAGTGAGATGGGCGCACAACCCTAGAGTCTGTCAAGACTGGCCCGTACAGGCAGGGGTACCTTTACCTTTACCTTTACTTTAACGTACTAAACTGTGGCTTATTACCGTATTTTTCCATCTATAAGACGCCCCCATGTATTCCATCTATAAGACACCCCCCCTATTTTGGGGACTCAGTTTTAAGAAAATGAGGGGAGATGGCTCAAAGTTGTTGAGTTTCTCCCCCCATGCAGCTGCGGGCAGGAAACACGCCCTAGATGGTTTCCCGCTCACGGCAGCATCAGGGGACGTTGCGCTCCTGCCAACTGGCTGGCTGGCAGGCATGCTCCATGCCACTATCCGTGTATTGGACAACCCCAGTTTTTTGACTTGATTTTTGGTCAAAAAACTTCATCTAATACATGGAAAAATACGGTATTTCTCTCCATAGGAGACTGAACGTTTGACTTTTGTTTGGAGATTTTAAAAACATTTCCTACTGCCCTTCACAGATTGCTGAAGGCTAAAAAGAAGCACACTAAATGTGTTTGGCACCTCCCCACACAAAAAGACCCCTTGAGATTTCATAGAATCATAAAATTGGAAGGGACCCACAAGGGTCATCTAGTCCAAACCCCTGCAATGCAGGAATCTCATCTAAAGCATCCGTGACAGTTGACCATTCAACCTCTGCTTAAAAAAGCTCCAAGGAAGGAAAGTCCACAACCTCCTGAGGGAAAACGTTCCACTGTTCAACAGCTCTTACTATCAGAAAGTTCTTCCTTTTCATTTTCCATTTTTTTATTTTGACAAAGTAATAAGAATAAATATAAAAGAATAAAATGTGTACCCCACTCCCAAGACCGTTCCACTGTAACTATCCAACCTCCCAAAATGTCAACACCTCTTTGAAAGTGCTTTAAAAGTATCCTGGGTGTGCAGAATTTGAGGCTTTCTTCTTGTTTCTTTGAGATTCCAACGCGGAGACCAGGAGCTATCAGACTGATGATAGCCTAAAGCCATGTGCTTTGAAAGGTAGATTCTCAACAACTGCACACAAGCAGCTCCTTGACGGCTAGAGGTTGCCCGGAGAGGAAATTATCGTAAAGACGTGTGCCAGCCTGGCAAGCCCTTTCCTTCGCTCATTGCTGTCATATAAGTGCCAGTCCATATAACATTTACTATGCTTCATCTTTCTTTTGTGGACAGCTCTGCTGACAGACTTCCTGCTTGGTCAGAAGAATCCTTGTGAAAATGGTTTCTGTCGCCATCCTGTTGGAGACCTACTTGTGGGTCGCGGTGACAGCCTAACAGCTTCATCCACATGCGGACTGTTTGAGCCTCAAAAATACTGCATTATCGGCTACCTGGAGGTGAGTTTATTTTATATATCGCTCCAACGTTTAAACGGGAAATAGCCCTAGAGCAGGCTTCCTCAAACTCGGCCCTCCAGGTGTTTTGAGACTACAATTCCCATCATCCCTGACCACTGGTCCTGTTAGCTAGGGATCATGGGAGTTGTAGGCCAAAAACATCTGGAGGGCCGAGTTTGAGGAAGCCTGCCCTAGAGAGTGTGTAACATCCAGCCAGAGTCCTCTTCCAGTTTACGCCTTCTTTAAACCGGCTTTCTAAGAGCATGTGGGGAGCTTCTTGAGTTTGGTCGGGAAAATGCTCACTGCTTCCACAACCTGCCTGACAACCTGTCTTGTCTTGTCCGGTTTGTTTCGATGCTTTGTTGGCCTGGATGGAGAATGGTGTGTGTGTGTGTGAACCTTTGTGCGGCTGGGATGTAGCTGTTTGTGCAGAGGAGTCGCCCAGTTTTGCATCTGAGCCCCTCCCCATCCCCCAGCGCCATGTGTCCTGCTGTTCCAAAGAGTACCTATGATGACATTGCGGCTCACTGGCTGAAAACTGTCCCCGGTCTCAGCTGCACAGCAAGTGATTTTTGGAAGGGGGAAGATTTTCTAAAGTGAGTTTGATTGGGGAAATGCTCACTGCTTCCACAACCTGCCTGACAACCTGTCTTGTCTTGTCCAGTTTGTTTCGATGCTTTGTTGAAATCCCTATTTATTTTTGCATTATTCAGAAGTACACAACGTTGTGACCAAAAACTGCTGAAGCGGTTTGGAATAAATACTTGCAGAGTTTTCTTCGAAGTGAAATGCTCCATCTACAGCGCTGAACTATGCATTAGAGCTTCTGGATCAGGGGTGTTGGAAATTTATAATTTCTGCTAGATTAAAAACCATGCATTGATCCCCCCCCCTTTCAGCATGGTTAAAAGAGCAAAAGAAAACAAAGCATTTGCGGGAGGACTTGCGAGCTCAGGAATCAATGCTACCTGGTAAACTTTGCTAAGCAGGCATGCAGATGCTTGTCACATTACCTTTTCCTTAGAAGGAGGTAGCACCAGGTAATACCTGTCTATGCACACCTGCAGGGACTCCACCTTTTGCAAATGCTCATTTGGTGTCTCAGTCCTATAAATAGGACTGAAAACCAAATGGTGCTAAAAATGCAAGAGGCAGTTGCAATACAACTTATGGGTTGTGCCTACAGTACTTGTGGCTGTGTGCTAATGTTTGTTTTCAACGCACTGAGTTTTATGTCCACACAGAACACAACAGCCCATGGGAACATATGCTGTGCACACATATTACCTAAATTAACCTGAGGTGGGAGGCGGGGGGAAGAGCACCAATAGCTCTTTGAAGTGTGATTTCCTCCCCTAATGATCATTAGTAGCAAACATACTAATGATCAATTCATTGGACGACTGTCAGTATATTTGCTGTCAGAAACTGCGATGTCTCAAGTGCGGCCAATTTAACTGATGGGCGGTAGGCTCAGAACAGAGGAAATGTCGTACTATCTCATTCTAGTATATCATTAACATACAGCATTTATTACTGCAAGATGTGGAGATGGCCAATAGCTTACACAGCTTTTAAAAAGGGCTAGATAAATTCGTTGCAGGGAAGACTTTCAGTGACTGTTAGCCATGGACCTTTTCTGATAGGAGCTGGAATCTAGCAATAGCCAATGGTTCCCCATCCCTGGTTTAGACAGAAGAACTGAAATTAAAGGGAGTGACTTCCCCAACCTTGGTTGAAGCTAAGGCTGAATTTAAATTAATGCACCTGAGGCCTGAATAAGGGTGACCATACTTAGAGTTAGCCAAACTGACAGATATAATAAGACAAAAACCAAAAAGTGTAGTGAAAAAGGAATGGTGGTGCCTAAATGAATACCTTAAAAGACAAGGTTCGAGGATAGAAATCTGGCTGAGTGTGCAATAACCTTGTGAAGTGAGAGGATAAAAAGAGGGATATATATTTAGATGCTAGGATCGAGGTGATAAGGAAAACAGAAAGATGCAATGAGAGGTAAAGGAGGTTGCTGTGGGATTGGTGGAAGCCACCGTTTGTTTTCCTTTCTAGTGTTTATACTATTAATTTGTAAGATTTGGATTTGTTTTTCATGTGTTTGTTTTTGTGTATTGTTATTTTTCGTTTTTTGTTTTCTTTTGTGTGGAAAATACTAATAAAATTTACTATTTAAAAAGAATAAGTGTGACCAGTTGCAAAAGAGGACAGGATTTCTGCACCCTTAATATCTGTGCTGAAGCAGTTATTTAAGCAGGTGTGGGTTGCTTGCCTGTTTTGCATCTAGCCAGCCTAGGCCTGGCACACATGAACAAACTGTTGAATACTTTGATTATATGCAAACCTTGAAATATATTCACTGGGCTCCAAAGCTCCATGCAGCAGGGGTAGGGCAATTTGGCACCCGCCAGGTGTTTTGGACTACAATTCCCATCAGCCCCAGTTAGCATGGCCAGCGGCCAGGAATGATGGGGATTGTAGTCCATGGCATCTGGAGGGCACCATGTTGGCTTCCCCTGCCATAAAGGCTCCACGGACGACGCAGGATCCTATATAGTCCTTTCCCTTTAATGCCGGATAATTTTCAGCGTAATCATGAAAACCACTAAATCAGAACCATACTCGTAAATATGTTATTGGTGCTTGCATGATTAAAACAATTATCTAGGAGGCATTTTGACAATCAAAGCCTAAACTTGTTAAAGAGGCTTTCCGCCCATTCATCCCTGAATAATCCATACATTTAAATTTTGCTGCATCGCATTAATCATCCTTGAATGCTTTTAATTTGTCATAAAGGAATTTCTTCCCTAAACTCTGCCTGACTTCAAGGCAAGTGGCTTCCTACGCGGTCCAACACTCAATCATTTGTCACCACTTTAAACTTTTAACTCTTTCCAAAAAAAGAGAAAGAGAGAAAGTTGAGATAAGAATAGTTGATCTTATGACATATCCTTAGTTCTGCTGTTTGGACTAATAGCACTGAAGGGTTGTTGTTTTTTAATCATCCTCAGCTACAGTACAGTGGTACCTCGGGTTACATACGCTTCAGGTTACAGACTCCGCTAACCCAGAAATAGTACCTCGGGTTAAGAACTTTGCTTCAGGATGAGAACAGAAATCATGCTCTAGCGGCAGCGGGAGGCCCCATTAGCTAAAGTGATTCCTCAGGTTAAAAATGGTTTCAGGTTAAGAACGGACCTCCGGAACGAATTAAGTACTTAACCCGAGGTACCACTGTACAGTGGTACCTCGCAAGACGAATGCCTCGCAAGACGGAAAACTCGCAAGACGAAAGGGGTTTTGGTTTTTTGAGTTGCTTCGCGAGACGATTTTCCCTATGGGCTTGCTTCGCAAGACGGAAACGTCTTGCAAGTTTGTTTCCTTTTTCTTAAAACCGTTAATACAGTTGCGACTTGACTTCGAGGAGCAACTCATAGCACGCGGTGTGGTAGCCTTTTTTGAGGTTTTTGAAGACTTTGGTGATTTTTGAAGCTTTTCCAAAACTTTCCCGACACCATGCTTCGCAAGACGAAAAAATCACAAGACGAAAAAACTTGCGGAACGAATTAATTTCGTCTTGCGAGGCACCACTGTATAGGCATCTCCCCTGCCCCTTTCAATATAACAAGTTGTAATCAAAGCTCAGGGACGCGGGTGGCGCTGTGGGTTAAACCACAGACCCTAGGACTTGCCGATCAGAAGGTCGGTGGTTTGAATCCCTGCGACGGGGTATGCTCCTGTTGCTCTGTCCCAGCTCCTGCCAACCTAGCAGTTCGAAAGCACCTCAAAGTGCAAGTAGATAAATAGGTACCGCTCCAGCGGGAAGGTAAATGGCGTTTCCGTGCACTGCTCTGGTTCGCCAGAAGCGGCTTAGTCATGCTGGCCACATGACCCGGAAGCTGTACACCGGCTCCCTCAGGCAATAAAGCAAGATGAGCGCTGCAACCCCAGAGTTGGCCACGACTGGATGGTCAGGGGTCCCTTTACCTTTTAATCAGGGCTCAGGCTTCCTGTCTGAGGTCAAGTATAACTGAGGCTGTTGCTGTTTGCAGCCTGATCTGATGCATGCTTATTCAGAAATATTAAGCCCTATTGGTTTCAGTGGTGTACACGCTTAAGTGTGCATAGGACTGTAGCTTTAAGCTTATTCAGTACTAAGCCCCACTGCATACAATGGAACTTTCCCTATGAACTCCAAGCAACACATTTCAGTATCTCCTACACTTTTCAGCAGCAGATAAATATCCCCGGCTAAGCTGCTTCCCTCTGTACAGGCCAGTGCACAGAAATCAGTACTGGAGAAAGGAGAATTAGTGAACAAGGACTAGTCTAATCTCTTATCTGGGCTTCAGTGCCCCCTTCTCTCACTGGGAGGGGGGGTTGTTTGGATTTAACCCTTTCATTTTTCGAGAAGGCAGATTAGCCCCATCCACCCCAAACACTTAAAGCAACCTCTTGCCTCTGTTTGCAATCTAGGAAGCCCACTATGTACATCTCCCCATTCCTTGCTTCATTGCTCCAAGGATCTCCCATGCTCAGAGCTAACTTAGATGCTTCCCAGTTCTCGGAATAGCATCTCAACAATGGCAGTGCAGTGGTACCTCGGGTTACAGACGCTTCAGGTTACAGACTCCGCTAACCCAGAAATAGTACCTTGGGTTAAGAACTTTGCTTCAGGATGAGAACAGAAGTCGTGCTCTGGCAGCGCAGCGGCAGCAGGAGGCTCCATTAGCTAAAGTGGTGCTTCAGGTTAAGAACAGTTTCAGGTTAAGAACAGACCTCTGGAATGAATTAAGTACTTAACCCGAGGTACCACTGTAGTTGGTGTTGCTTGCTGTCTAATCCTGTACTGCTGCTTCAGTTGTCCGCTGGGCACGAGTTACTGGTAGCCATAATAACCATTCATCTTGTCCACCATTCTTTTTCTAGGATGAGCAGAAATGTTTCACCTGTGATTCCAGATACCCGTATAATCCAGTCTTCCAGGCCGAGAGTCACTTAATTGAAAATGTTATCACAACTTTTGAGCCAGATCGGAAGAAGTGGTGGCAGTCTGAAAACGGTGAGTGGCTTTTCATTTGTGTTCATTTCTTAGACTAATTTGAATTTACTGCGACCTCCAGCCGCATTATAGAGGGGGGTTCAAAATGGGGGGGGGGGTAATATCGTCAACGGATGATTCAGATATTGTAAAACAAGTAATTGGAAACAGGTTTTTAAAAACATCTCTCCCCACCACCACCACGGAAAGGGTAAATCTTGATTAAAGCTGGACGGACTTCCGGTCGGCGCCAGCGTCTAATGGCTGCCTTTGCCTCGAGCTCCGAGGCAGGACTGCTCCGCGGGATCGGGTCTGACCCGCTACGGCGAGCGGGGGACCCCTAAAATCACAGGCGCTGAAGCCTGTGGACAAGGAGATCCGGTGGGCACCTTTGCACCCCCCGGTATCGCGAAAGAGCCTTTTTAAAGGCTCCGGAGCGGCATCGGGAGTGAGTGCGGTGCTGAGGATCGCTACCCAGCCTGCGGAGTGAAGCCGCGTCGCCATTGACGGAGAGCGCCGATTCCTTCCTGAAACAACTGATTGACTACAAACCCCGTGAGTAAGAACTGAAAAGTAAAGGGGACTTTAAACTTAAGAAGATTTGGCTGAAAACGGGAAAGGCAAAAAATAAGGAAGTCTGCCTCCCGGAGCTGCATGATTAACGGAGCAATGAAAAGACTGAGCTGCATTTAAAGGGAAAGCTTTTCTAATACTAAAAATTTGTTAAACCTGACATCGAAAGGGTCTCCCCCCCTGGAGCAGGAGAAGGGGGAGAGAAAAATTGAACCAACCTTGCCTGTAAAAGAATAGAGCATTGAACGGGGGACCCTCCACTGTCGATAACTCTGGCCAGACTGCCGGAGTAGCGCTTACCTAGAGACTGAGCTGTCAAATGAACTGTCAAAAAATACTGGTGGCTACAAAGTAAGATCTATGTGATACAAATTAAGGGGACGGTGGTGATAAGAATTTGGACATTTTAAACTGCTACAAAGTAAGGATTTGGGTTGAACTTTTGCATCTGGGACTTTTTGTTTCTTTGTTTCCCTGGCACACCGGTTTGGATACAATTTCTCCCTCTAGAGGGCTCTAACTGCATTACGGTGGACAAAAGGGGGATTTTCCACTTGCAGCTCTCCTGTGAGAACGACCTTGAGTTATGAGCAACCCACTGGATGAAATATCAACAAGAAGCAAGACAAAACAGGCTCAAAAGCAAACTCAAAAAAGAGGTTCTTTATCAGGAGCAGCAGCTGCACAGGAAAAAGGAACGACAGCATCAATGGATTCTATGACACAGGCTCTGCTCAGAATAAACCAATCTTTAGAAGTACTCACTAAGCAGTCTGCAGAGCTCACTAAGCAATCTACAGAGAACTCTAAGAAACTAACAGAACTGACAACAAGATTGGACCTCAACACAACGACAATATCATCTAACACAGACTCTATAAACCGATTAATTCAAGAAAGCACAGAGACACGGAAAATTGCGGAGAGTGCGAAGAGCACTGCCGAGGAAACCAGAGGAAAAGTGGCGCCCATTGTCAAGAAAGTACATGAACATGATGCAGCTTTGGCCCTTCTAGAGCTGGAGAGGAAAAATAAGAATTTGAAACTACGACTGGTACCAGAAGAGGAACAGGACAAACTTGGGGAATTCCTCACAGACAAATTTCAAGAGTTCTGGAATGACGAACTAGGAGGAGGACGAATTTGCAATAATCACTGCCTTCCGGATTGGCAGGAAGCAAGGCAAAAAACCAAGAGATTGTTTAATCACATTGAGATCAAAGGAAGAAAGAGATAAAATACTAAATCTACATTTCCAGAAGGCTTTGGTCATTAAAAACTCCCAAATACAGATCTTTAAGGACATACCTAAGTACTTTTTGGAGGTGAGAACACAATTTAAAGAATTGGTGGACTTACTTAAAAAGAACAACATCCCATTTAGGTGGGAATTTCCACAAGGGCTGTCCTTCATCTTTAAAGGGAAGAAATTTAAAATTAAAACAAACCAGGACAAAGAACAATTCTTGGACAGAAACTCAGAGGATCTCCATAAAGGAACTGTAGGTGAGAGAGATATACCAGACATACCAGATATTGCAAATCTATCATTTGGACTGAATCCAGCGCCGACTGAAGAGGAGCAGGAACTTGGTGCAGTTGGTGGCAAAGCTACCCAATAACAAAAATGTCTCTGCAACTTCTGAGTTGGAACTGCAATGGTCTGAACCATCCCCGAAAAAGGGGTCAAGTGTTTCATATATTGAAGAAAGAACAATTAGATATAATCTGCTTACAAGAAACCCACATTGCCAGGATAAACAGGAAGCTTTTAACAAATAGGAGATTAGGACTGGAATTTATTTCCTCAGATAAAGTTAAGAAAAGAGGAGTAGTGATTTATGTTAAGGAGAAATTTGAACCAAAAATGATTTTTAAAGATGAACAAGGAAGATATCTGGCAGTGGAAATTCAAATCCAAGGAGAAAAGATTCTGATTGTGGGAGTTTATGCACCTAATGAGGGGAAGGCCGAGTTTTTCAAGAAGTTGCATGAGACTTTAATGGACTTTCTGGACTTGAAAATTATAATGATGGGCGATATGAATGGAGTAGTCTCTACAAACATGGACAAGGCCCAAAGACAAGTAATATCTAAAGATGGGAGACTACCAAAGACTTTTTTTGAACTGACTGATACCTTGGACTTGATTGACATCTGGAGAACTAGGAACCCTCTGGAAAGAGAGGGGACTTTTTTCTCTGAGGCAAAAATGACATGGACTCGAATTGATCAAATATGGATCTCTAGTGATCTGGCATCAAGGACTAAAAAAATTGAAATCTGCCCAAAAACCTGTTCTGACCACAATCCAGTAAAGATGGAAATGAAACTGACAACAGCTGGAACCTTTAGATGGAGAATGAATGACGCTCTATTTGGAGATGAAGCATTTTGTAAAAAGGCCCGAAAGACACTGAAAGATTACTTCGAGATAAACTTGAATTCGGATGTTGAAAAGAGAATAATTTGGGACGCAAGTAAAGCTGTGATGCGTGGCTTCCTAATACAACAAAATTCTATAAAGAAGAAAAAACAGAATGAGAAGAAAGAGAAAATTTGGAACCTAATAAAAGAAGGAGAGAAGAAACTTAGGTCTAAACCTAAGTCCCATGAGATTTTAAGAGAAATAAAGCTTTACCAAACACAATACATGGAACTGATGAATCAAGAGATAGAATGGAAAATAAAACAAATGAGGCAAAAGACGTTTGAGTCAGCAGATAAATGTGGGAAGCTACTGTCGTGGCAGCTGAAAAAGAGACAAAAGTTGAATACTGTGACATCTCTCGAAGTAGATGGGAAACTTATCAACAAACCAAATGAGATAAGTAATTGCTTTCAAAGTTTTTTTAAGAAGCTGTACGCACAGGGGCCAAAAAAATGAACAAGAGATAGAAGAATTTATTAAAAAATATGGACTGTCAAAAATTTCTGAAAGAAACCAAAGAATTCTAAATGAGGAAATTACAGAGCAAGAAATAGAGCGTGCCATTCAGGACATGCAACTGGGAAAATCACCAGGACCAGATGGTTTGACTGCAAGATACTACAAAGCATTGAAAGAATGGTTAATACAGCCATTGAAAGAAGTTTGCAACCAAATTTTGGAGGGGAGTAAGGCTCCCGAATCGTGGAAAGAAGCATTTATCTCACTTATACCGAAGACAGAAACTGAGAAACATCAAGTTAAGAACTACCGCCCTATATCACTCTTGAATACGGATTATAAAATTTTTGCAGACATTTTGGCAAAAAGATTTAAGAAAGTTCTATTAGAGGAGATTCATAAGGATCAAACAGGCTTTCTCCCAGGAAGACATATGGCAGATAATGTGAGGAATATTGTTGATATCTTGGAACTGTTGGAGACTGATATAAACAGAAAAGCAGTATTGATTTTTGTGGACGCAGAGAAAGCCTTTGATAACATTTGCTGGAGTTTCATGAAGAAAAATCTTCAAGGGATGGGGGTAGGCCGAAGTTTTGAAAACGGTATAGGTGCAATATACTTTGAACAAAAAGCTAAACTAATTGTGAATGGGGTGGTTATGGATGAGATTCCAATTGAGAAAGGGACACGACAGGGATGCCCAATATCCCCCCTATTGTTTATAACAGTACTGGAGGTTTTGCTGAACATGATCAGAAGGGATCAGTTGGTTAAAGGAGTACAGGTCGGAACGAAACATTATAAGTTAAGAGCATTTGCAGACGATCTAGTTTTGACATTGCAAGAACCAGAAGCCAGCACAAAAAGAGTCTTAGAATTAATTGAAATATTTGGTCAAGTAGCAGGTTTTAAACTAAATAAATATAAGACAAAGGTGCTGGAGAAAAATTTGACTATGGTGGAAAAAGATAGTTTTCAAAGGGAAACCGGACTGGAAATAGCAAAAAGGGTGAAATACCTGGGGGTGAACTTAACATCTAAAAATATGAACCTATTTAAAGACAATTATGAGAAATGTTGGTTGGAGGTGAAGAAAGATCTTGACATATGGTCTAGGTTGAGACTTTCCTTGTTAGGCCGAATCGCTGTTATTAAGATGAATGTACTGCCGAGACTGTTGTTTTTGTTTCAGACATTGCAAATTATAGACAAGACGGAATGTTTCAAGAAGTGGCAGAAAGATATATCTAAATTTGTCTGGCAGGGCAAAAAACCCAGAATAAAATTTAAGATTCTGACTGATGCAAAGGATAGAGGGGGTTTTGCCTTGCCGGACTTCAGACTCTACTATGAAGCAGCAGCTTTTTGCTGGCTGAAGCAATGGCTACTTCTTGAGAATACAGATATCTTAGATCTAGAAGGTTACGATAATAACTTCGGTTGGCATGCATATCTATGGTATGACAAGGTAAAGGTTCATAAAAATTTCAAAAACCATATTGTCAGGAAAGCATTGTATAATGTATGGAATCGGTATAAAGATCTGTTGGAAAGTAAAACCCCCAGGTGGTTATCACCAGTGGAAGCTAAGGCGGTAAAAAAACTCAACATGGACCCAGTGTGGCCAAAATATTGTGAAATTATAGAATATGATGGTGAAAAGTTGAAACTAAAGAGCTTTGAGAAGTTAAAGCCTAAAGTCCGAGATTGGTTACATTACCACCAGATTAATGAGACTTTTAAGCAGGACAGGAAATTAGGATTCCAGAAGGAGAGGTCAAAATTAGAAACAGAATTGCTAGAACCCAATACTAAGAATCTGTCTAGAATGTATAATTTGCTGCTAAAATGGAACACACAGGATGAAATAGTGAAATCAGCTATGATTAAGTGGGCACAGGATATTGGACATGATATTATGTTTGCGGACTGGGAACAGTTATGGACCACAGGCATTAAATTTACGGCATGTAGTGCCTTAAAAGAGAACATAATGAAAATGATCTATAGGTGGTACATGACCCCAGTTAAACTTGCAAAGATATATCATTTGCCCAATAATAACTGTTGGAAATGTAATGAATGTGAAGGAACCTTTTATCATCTTTGGTGGACTTGCCCGAAGGTTAAGGCTTACTGGGAAATGATTTATAATGAAATTAAGAAAATCCTTAAGTGGACATTTGTTAAGAAACCGGAGGCCTTTCTCTTGGGCATGGTCGGCCAAACGATTCCAAAGAAAGATCGAACCTTTTTTATGTATGCAACCACAGCAGCAAGAATTCTTCTGGCAAGGTATTGGAAGACTAAAGATCTACCTACTCTGGAAGAATGGCAGACCAAGGTGATTGAATTCATGGGACTGGCAGAGATGACCGGCAGAATTCGTGACCAGAGGAGAGAGACAGTGGAGGAGGACTGGAAAAAATTTAAAGTTTATCTTAAAAATTGTTGTAAAATTGTGGAATGTTGAGATGTCGAGGGATATGATCTAGAGAATTACAGCTGTTAAAACTGAAATTAAGAAAATTCTTAAAGGGAATTAAATACAAAATTGAATGATGGATTGCTAGAAAAAAAGATCTTAAAATAAGAATGCAGTGAAGGAGAGGCATGGGGAAGTCATGTTTTGTTTGTTTGGTATTTTGTTTATGTTTATATTTATGTTGTAAAATCAATAAAAATTATTTTAAAAAAAAAAAATCTTGATTAAAGCTGAAGGGAGGCTCCCATGTTTATGCTCAAAATGAGTGAATATTAAAAAGAAACCTTGCATACGTGAGCATAAACTCACCATAAACACCTGGCTGGAAACAGCCAGAGGTCATTTCCAGATGACTTGTTTATGGAGCATTCATCCTGATTTGTTTGCACAAAGTTTTACAAGGAGGTTATTCTACATCAGCTGTTTATTGAGCATTTATTCTGAACTTTACCTCAGGATGAGAACAGAAATTGCACGGCGGAGGCGGCAGCAGGAGGCCCCATTAGCTAAAGTGGTACCTCAGGTTAAGAATGGTTTCAGGTTAAGAATGGACCTCCGGAACATATTAAGTTCGTAACCAGAGGTACTACTGTACAACATCAGGCTCCTCATAAGCTGGTGCCTCTGCTAGGTTACAACAGTGGAGAGTTATTTTGCCCTCACTTCCTGCTCCCATGTGCATCTGGTTGGCCGTGTGAAAAACAAGGTTGTGGACCAAGGTAGGCTTTTGGTCTGATCCAGCCGTGTTCCACCTAATGTTCTTTCGTATAGTTTGCCATATCCTACACTCATCAGATAAAATAGATAATTTGTACTACTTAACACTTTTTTCATTCCATTTCAGGTGTTGACCATGTCAGCATCAGGCTGGATTTAGAAAATCTGTTTCAGTTCAGCCACCTTATCCTGACTTTCAAGGTACCCTGCACATAACTACATAACCATGTAATATTTAAATTGATTTATAGACTAGTGACTTTAATTAAACCATGTAAACTCCTTTGGAAAATCAAGCCGTCTGAACTGTTGACTAGGAAATGTGTCCAAAGAGTTTCACAGATGTGCAATGTATGTTGTTGTTTAATGTGCTATCTGTGTGTTGTGGCTAAAGTAAAAAGGTAAAGGGACTCCTGACCATTAGGTCCAGTCATGGCTGACTCTGGGGTTGCGGCGCTCATCTTGCTTTACTGGCCGAGGGAGCCGGCGTACAGCTTCTAGGTCATGTGGCCAGCATGACTAAGCCGCTTCTGGCGAACCAGAGCAGCGCACGGAAACGCCGTTTACCTTCCCGCCAGAGCGGTACCTATTTATCTACTTGCACTTTGACGTGCTTTTGAACTGCTAGGTTGGCAGGAGCAGGGACCGAGCAACAGGAGCTCACCCCGTTGCGGGGATTCGAACCGTCGACCTTCTGATCGGCAAGCCCTAGGCTCTGTGGTTTAACCCACAGCGCCACCCGCATGTTTAAATCCTCACCTGCCCATGAAGCTCCCAGGGTGATTTGGGGACAGTCGCTATTTCTGAGCTTAGACTACCTCAGGGTGTTGTTTTAGGATAAGGATAACCCTTGCATATGCTGTCCTTCAGAGTTTAAGTAACAGTCAGATGGAAGCGTTGGTTATTACATGAAGGATTGGCTATTATGTGATAGATATTAGACTTCAAATCTTCGTACTTTGTTAATCTTAATGAGGAAGTCATCTGAAGGCTTGGGTTGAAATGTCATCAGTATGCAGATGACACTCAACTTTGCATCTGTTTTCCATCTCCTCATCCTAAAGAGGCGGTTGAACTTCTGGATTGGCACCTTGAGGCAAGTTTGGGTTGGAAACTGAGATTAATCCAGATAAGATAGAAGTGCTGTGGGTGGGGAAAACCCCGATGAAGGGTTGTTATGAGGATCAAATTTGCATTTTAGCAGTGTTGTTGAGCTCAAGGCTACCAGGCAACAGCAGTAGCTGGGTTGGTTTTTATCGACTTCAGTTCCTTTGCCTTCTTGAGAGAAGATAGACAGTATCTCACGTTATCCACACACTAGTGATAGCCAGGCCTGACCACTACAATGTGCTCTGCGTGGGGCAGTGTTAGAAACTGAGACATGAAAGCTAGGAGCTAAACGGCACCTTAAACCGAGGTTGTGGGTGCAACAATGGAATGTCTAGGTGCGCTTTTTTATAACAAGAATACAGTGCTGAAAATGAATGAACTGCAGCTAAAATATTTTGTTCATTTCTCACACAGTCTAGTCCTTCCCCTGCCCACCCCATTAATATTCTTAAGAGGGTCTCTTTTCCAGTCTTCAGACAGGAGCTGGAAGTGGGGAGGCAGAAAAAGGTCCTTTTTCCTTTCCACTCTGCAGTTTTAATTGGAAATCTTAGGTGCCCTATATAACATATTCTATCTATATTGGACCAATCCCACTTGTTACAATGGCACTTTAAATATAATTTAAAGTGCTGGTGATTAACTTCAAAGCCCTGAAGAGTTTGGGACCCAGTTATTTAAAGAACTCTTTAAATCAACCAACCCATGCCTTGTCATTGATAATAATAATAATAATAATAATAATAATAATAATAATAATAATAATATTTTATTTATATCCCGCCCTCCCCAGCCGAAGCCGGGCTCAGAGTGGCTAACAACAGTAAAGTGATACAACATTCTAAAATCATTTCATTATAAAATTAATTCAAATCAGATTAATGGCAACCATCGGGCTAGAGTTCTGTGAGGCTTGCCATTTCAGTGGCTTTTCATCATAGCAGCAATAAATAGGAATTTTATATCTTTTATAAAACACATTATTTAAGAGAGTCACTTTCTCTAACATGAAACCATTGTTAACACAACTGGGAATTTAAAATTAACACAACTTTAGATAATTTGAGTTTGGACATGGAGCTGAGGAAAGAAAATCTATCGCTGGGTAGCTTCGCTATCATTTAGCGAATGCTCGAAAAACATTTGTAGTGACATGTCAGAATCTGAATCCTGCCCAAGAAAAGCTCACTATCAATGAGGACACATCTGGGAGTCCACAGATTCAGGTTTCCCCCTGGTGCCACTGAGGACTGAAGTGGTCATTATAGTGGGAGTGATCTGAATGAAGTTCTCTCTCTTCACAGACATTCCGGCCTGCAGCAATGTTGGTGGAGCGCTCCACAGATTATGGTCAAACCTGGAAAGTGTTTAGATATTTTGCGCAAGACTGTGCTACTTCTTTCCCTGATATTCCTTCGAGGCCAGCCACCACTGTTGGAGATGTTGTTTGTGACTCAAGATATTCAGATATCGAGCCATCCACTGAAGGGGAGGTATGCCTGTTCTTTGAGTTCATTTCATCGTAAGGATTTAGTCTTAATGTTGATTTCTGCTTCAGTGGTGTAGTCCTTAGCTATGCATTTCTTATGTAAGAACATATTCCAGTTACCGTTTTTTTCGGTGTATAAGACGACATTTTTTCCTTAGAAATAATAGGCAAAAATTGTGGGTTGTATTATACACGGATAGCAAAGGGGGGACAGGCGGTTGGTGGCAGCAGCCAGCAGGAGATTGGGAGCAGCAATTGGGCGTGTGATTGGTTGCTGCGGCAAGGCCTGCTGGCAATTTGCTGTGGCTGTGGCAATTGGGCGTTGATTTTTGGCGGCTAGTGTACAGACGATTGGTGGCCATGGCAATATGTGCAATTTTCACTGGCGGGCATGCTGTGGAGCGATTGGCGGCTCAATAACTCTGGGCAATCCCCCACCCCCAAAAAGCTGAACAACTCTAGGCAATATCTCCCCAATTTTTTTTGTTGTGGTCCCCAAAAATAGGGGTCATCTTATACATGGGGGCATGTTATACACGGAAAAATACGGTAAGTCATTTACTTTTACAATGACAGTATAAATCTTCATTGCATTTCTACAGGTTGTTTTTAAAGCTCTGGATCCCAGCTTTGAAATAGAAGATCCCTACGCCCCATACATCCAAGGTAGTTTGGAGTTTCATAATGCCTTTTAAAATTCTTTTGCTTCATACAAAATACTAATGCAGAAATAGCCAAGATCCAGATATTGATGGTCTCGAACTCTGATCTCCCCTGACCACTGGCTAGGCTGCCTGGGGCTGATAGGAGTTGGAGTCCAACAACATCTGGAATAATACCACCTTGGCTACCCCTAAATGTATACTGTCATGGCAGTCTGCTGCCTTCAGCGAAGATTGACATGTTTACATCTATGGTAGAGCTACTATACTTGGGTATTTTAAGTGGAAAGGGCCAAAGCTCAGTAGCAAAGGATGCATTACACTGGGTGTGATGAACCTTTAACCCTCCAGATGTTGCTAAACTACAACTCCCATCATCCCTGGCCATTGGTCATGCTTGCTGTGGCTGATGGGAATTGTAGTTCAGCAACAAGTGGGCCAAATTTTCCCTACACCTGCTTTACACATAGAAAGTACCAAGTTGAATTTTGTGATGGAGCAAGGTAGGGAGGGCCATGGCCATCTGAACTATTCAATCTTTGACATGGTGGGGACAAATGTCTGACTTGGTATATAAGGCAGCATTGTATGTTCACATTGTTAGCAAATTGCATAAATAAAACACAGTTCAGAGAGAAAAGGAAAAACCCCACTTTATTGCACAAAACTGAACAAAAACGGCATAGAACTTGAGGAGAAAGAAGCAGAGAGGTCTTGCCTTTCTCAGTTCAGACCTTGTACATAGCAGGGAGACATCCAGTCAGAACATGCGCTACCTCAGCAAAGAACATGCCACTCTGCCTGGTTGCTAAGCAACACCCCCCCTCTCTACCCTCTAATAACAGAATTAACCCTTTAGTCATACCCTGAATGATCTCTGCTGTTGTGCTTGAATTGCATCAACTTAATGTTGAGGCCAATTAACCAATTATTTCTTGTCCTTGCTCACAGAGCTTATTACCTTAACAAACCTGAGAATAAACTTTACTAAGCTTCACACTCTTGGAGATACTTTACTCGGACAAAAGCGGCGTGATCCTCTGGAAAAATACTACTATGCGCTTTACGAGATGATAGTTCGCGGAAGCTGTTTTTGCAATGGTCACGCCAGCTACTGTGGCCCAGTGCAAAATCTGAGGGGTGATGTTTTCCATGAGCCTGGAATGGTACGTCACAAATCTTCTCATTCTTGACACTTTATTAGAGGCAAAAAGGATCCAGCTTCTGTAAGGTACTGCAGAGATATTCCTAAGAGTAATTAGATCATATTTGGCTAATAGCAGGGAAATGCCACAGCTGTAATTATGCGGATATAATTCAGTTAATAGCCAGTGCTGTGTGTAGACTTGAATTGTTTATAGATCAATGCAATAATTCTTAACTTGCCTAGAAAAGCTTGTATAAGAAAGAAAGAGCGAGGGAAGTGACCAGTGATTTAAAAATGTAAAAATTATTCCTCTACAAATGCAACCTGCAGCAAAATGTTCCTGCGTGAAGTGCTCCTGTTCATGGTGCCAGCCAGCCAGTCAGTCAGTCAGTCAGTCACGAATGCCCTCTCCCAACATATTCCATTCCATTAATTAAGTTTTCCTGTTCCCTTCTGTAACACTACCACTAAAAGTAAGATTGTGTCTGCACTATTCCTTTGAAGCACGTTGAAAGCCTATTTCTCTACTCCCCCACCCCCTGCCAAATTCTGAACACTATAATTTTACCCCTCACAGAGTTACAGTTCCACCAACCCATAAAATACTACAGTGCCCAGAATCCTTTGAGGGAGAAAATGTGCTCTGAATGTGGTTTAAAAGCATAGCATGTATGAAGCCTAAATCGGCATTCTGTGGGCTCTGATCATGCTTGGTTTTCATTGGACTGCTTTGGGGTCATCACCCAACACCACCATTTTGTACTTCTATAAACCTCAGGGGGGTTTCTCCAACCTTGCTGATAATGACCCTTTTTTGTATGTGTTGATGGCCAGGTCAGATCAGAAGAATCTTTATTTGCATCAGCCACTAGCCATAGCAATAAAGTAAAAAAAAAAAAAATGTACTGAAGATAGAGGTAGGAACTTAACTATACAAAACACATTTGGGAGGTTTACATCAATAAGGTGAGAAGTTCCCCTTTTAGCTGCCAGAACTGAGAGCTGACTGTGATCCAGCAGAGATCTTGGAATTCCCCATTATGATGCTGCCTACGTGAGTGTAGATTGGGCTGATTACCTTTGGAAAAAGTTGCTTTTATAAAAAAGACGATAAAGATTTGGATAAGAAGCAGTGAACAGTATGCGACAAACATAATCCACAAGGTTCTTCACCCTGGGAAACTTTCCATTTTTGTGGGCGAGAAAAATTGGCACAAATCCTTGTGGACGTTTGAGAGCACTGCTGCTAAATTGCCAAGATCATGTCGCTTGGATAGATGTCCTTTGCTCAGAAGATGTGTTGTGCAAAACTGGAACACTTCTGGTGAAGCCTATCTGAAGGACCATATCTTTGAGAAAAAAACTCAACAACTTTGGGGGTAAAATTAAAAAAAAACCTCAACTTCAATCCTTAAAAAAGGTCAACAACTTTGGTCGGCCCTCACGGCCCTTCACTTCATCAAATCTGGCCCTCTTTGAAAAATGTTTGGACACCACTGAGCTAGTCCAACCCCCTCAATGTAGGCACATGCAGCTGTCCCATTCGGGGATCGAACCTGCAACCTTGGTGTTCTCAGCACCACGCTCTAACCAACTGAGCTATGCACACCCAGTTAATTTCTGCAGGACATGGACGAGAGACATTTCTGTTGAATCACATCCCAGGAAAGAAAAGCACGTGTGATAACTCTGTGTTTTTAATTTGTTGTTGACATGCTGCAGGTCCATGGGAGCTGCCTCTGCGAGCACAACACAGACGGCTTGTCCTGTGAGAGGTGCAAAGATTTCTACAACGATGCTCCCTGGAGGCCAGCAGAAGGATCGCAGGAAAATGCTTGCCAAAGTACCTCAAAGTGATTTACTTCGTTGTTATCAGTCTTGCAAGTAGCAATCGGCCATCGCCGTGCGGTGCTTGGAAGTGCTGTGCATTGATAGGCTGAACTCTCTGTTGAAAGTGCCTCTCCACTTAAGAGCTATCCACGGTTCCTCATGCAAAGTTATTGAAGCTAGAGTAATAATAATAATAATAATAATAATAATAATAATAAGGCAGTCAGCAGGCAGATAGGGTCTCAGCCTGCGTACCAGATGGAGCTGGTAAACAGCTGCCCTGGGCACAGATTTGACCTGTGCCTCCATGGACAGCTGTGAGTCCAAAATGACTCCCAGGCTGCACACCTGGTCCTTCAGGGGCACAGTTACCCCATTCAGGACCAGGGAATCCTCCATACCTGCCCACCTCCTGTCCCCCAAAAAGAGTACTTCTGTCTTGTCAGGATTCAACCTCAATCTGTTAGCCGCCATCCATCCTCCAACCGCCTCCAGACACTCACACAGGACCTTCACTGCCTTCACTGGTTCTGATTTAAAAGAGAGGTAGAGCTGGGTATCATCTGCATACTGATGAACACCCAGCCCAAACCCCCTGATGATCTCTCCCAGCGGCTGCATATAGATGTTGAAAAGCATGGGGGAGAGGACAGAACCCTGAGGCACCCCACAAGTTAGAGCCCAGAGGTCTGAACACTCATCCCCCACCACCACTTTCTGAACACGGCCCAGGAGGAAGGAGTGGAACCACTGTATGACAGTGCCCCCAGCCCCTCGAGACGGTCCAGAAGGATGTTATGGTCGATGGTAGAATTCAGAGTCTGTTTTTCATATACTTGGATGAACATACCGTTAAGGGATTGGGTTCACGCTGTCCCTGTCTACATCATACGTATGCTTCTGTTTTTGTCTTCTGTTTCAGAGTGTGAGTGCAATGGTCATTCTGAAAGCTGCCACTTTGATATGGCTGTGTACCTTTCTAATAACCGCATCAGTGGTGGGGTATGCGAAGATTGTCAGCATAATACCATGGGGCAGCACTGTGATCGCTGCAAGCTTTTCTTTTATCAAGACCCAGAGAGGACAATTTCGGACCCTCGTGCATGTATCCGTAAGTGTGTGACCTTCCCTAGATGTGTGACCCATAGAGCTGGACCCAGGCCTCAGTTAGTCGAATGCCATTCCTACTGAAAGCAATGATTTACTCATCCCATTGATCTCAATGGGATCTAAATTTAGTTTGCAGAGTCTGGCTCCAACTCGTGGCATTTGCTTACAAATCAAGTATTTCGTATCGGTGATCCAAGATGCTAAGCAACAGGGGCCCAGACCAGCAAGTTGTACACGAGCTGATTTAGAAAATGTGGGGAATCTGAACTAGATTAGGAATGATCAGGCACATATGCAATGGGAAACACCTCTGCTCTTAAAGACCTTTTAAGATGCAGAGTACCAAAAAATGAATTCTGGGAGAAAGACATAGGACAACATCCTCTCTAGCCATGAGTGGCCAACGCAAGTGGAAAAATTCTAGAGTGGAGCATGGCTCCATCATAACACAGCTTCTTCTGGTTGCCCCATATTTCTAGTGCTGCTTCTGCAGTGGAGAGCCTTTTCTGCCATTTGTGTTACGAAGAGTTGCGATCTTCCCTGGTTCTTCGTTGCACATGGATCCTCCATAAATAGAAAAGGCTCCCCGCTACAGAACACAGGTAAACTGGAAGGAGCTGTGCGATGGGAGAAGCTAAAGATGCATTCTCATCCCATCTCTGTACTTATATTGCTCCTTTGTGGCTGTGTTGCCTGAATAGGGCTCCTCTTTTCTTAAGACAACAAAGTAGGCCCTAAATAAACATGGCCCATGTTTTTTATTCCACACTCAATCTTTTTTTCTGGCAAATTATCCCTGTTTCATCATATTCATCCTGTTTGGATTTGGAGGTCTGACTCCACAGGAGTATAAACATGCATACAAATTGCACTCCTCACAATTGTGCTGTTTCATATTCTGTTACAGTCCAGGAGCTGACTGCTCTGTGATATTAGTTTCAGACCCTTTCCCTAAATTTGAGCTTTTCACTAAAAGGATATAGGGGTGGGTTTAGCCGTATCAAGGCTGACTATTGCAATGACTCGCGAACATTTCCGGCCTGTGAATGCTTCCATTTAACTGCTTTCCACTTACATCTGTGACTGCCTATCTGTCCATAGCTTGTGAATGTGACCCTGAAGGTACATTGTACAATGGGCTGTGTGAGGATCGTACAGACCCATTTCTTGGAACCACTGCTGGCCAATGCCACTGCAAGGAAAACGTCGAAGGAGTTCATTGCGACAAGTGCAAGCCAAACTACTATGGGCTGAGTGGAAGTGATCCTCTGGGCTGTCAGCGTATGTTTTTCTTTCTTTCTTTCTCTTCCTCCTCCCCATTAAAGGCTTTGATTATCAGAACACACCTGCCTTAAAACTTTGGCTCAGCCTGTACGTCACATTAAGCCGTAGTTTGAAACAAACCTTGGTTCAAGGTGTTGGCAAATGCAAGCATGCTGGTGAACGCTGCTCTAAAGTTTGCTTGGTACTCCTCCCCTGCTCCTGCAGGAGAAACGCAAACTGCAAGCCCAAATCAAGGCAATGTGAGAAGCCAGACTCTTGCTTGTTTCATTGTGGTGTAGCAGGAGCACCACATGAGCGCACTAGTATGCAGCTCGTTCGCATTGAACTATGGCTCGCTGCAAACTATGGTTTAACCAGGCCACAATCACTTCATTGGTTCAGTACTGCAACCAAGGGATTGTAGAACTTTTTTTTCCTTAAAGCAAAAGCTGTATTATAAAACTCAGAGGAAATGAAGGGGGGAAAGGATCTTTTACATCCCCTAGCTGTGCATTTTACCCTAGCTGCCAATTGCAAAAGTGTCAGAAATACATAACAAATGGAAGTCCATTGTATTCCATGGCTTTTTCAAAACTATATATTGTTATGCACACCCGTTTCTTGAGTGGTAAGAGAGGTCAGGTGTCCTGCCAGCACATCCCTTGGGATTTGTGTCCCTAGAATGAAGGTTGCTGGAGGCAGAGGGTGTTTTCTGCCTTAGAAGGTTTATTTCTACTGAGGGCTCCTCCCCGCTGCATGTGAAGGGAGCCTCACAGACATGGTGATTCTGCTTTGTGTCCTTTCAGCCTGCAGCTGCAACCCTTCAGGAAGCTTGTCTTTCTCTGCTTGCGACCCAGTGACTGGAGAGTGTCTGTGCCAGCGGTTTGCCACTGGGCAACATTGCGAGGAATGCCCTGTAGGTACCTGCGAGAGGTTTGGAGACAGATGCTGCAGTATTCTGCGTTGACAAAAGTTCCTGTGGGCTTGTCTTTTACCTTTTGAAAAATCTCTTCCGCTATGGAAGTGATGAAGCAAAGGTCAAAGTGGCAATCCGCGGTATTCAGCTGAGAATTCTTTGTCTTTTACAAATTGCTAAGGAAACAGGGATCAGAGTTAGTGTACTGCCATAGGGAGAACCCAAGAAACATTGCTTGCTGCTAGGCTACAGGCCCAGGAAAAGCCCATCTGGGTTTTGCACATGCCACTTTTGGAGAGGGTGGGAGTCTGTTCTAGGACTGAAAGCAGGAAAATTCAACCCAACTCTTTACTTAGCCTGTTTCCATTTCTGAAGCAGGGTCCTCCCACCTGCACCCCTTTCCATGTTAATCTGTTCATACACTCAATGTTCCTTAGCAGGTGTAGGGGACCTATGACTCTCCAGATATTGCTGGACTTCATTTTCCATCTTTCAGCCCTATTGGCCATACTGGCTGGAGCTTATGGAAGTTGGAGCCCGATGAAATTTGAAGGGCCACATGTTCTCCATCCCCGGAGAATGGAACAGAATCAAAAGGTTCAGTAAGTAAAACAGTTTTTAATGTCAAATGGGGTTAACCGGTTTCCGTTTTTATTTTACTGCAGCAAGGATACTGGGGCCTTGGGAGCAATCTACACGGATGTTCCCCCTGTGGCTGTGACATTGGCGGTGCCCACAATAACTTGTAAGTCTATGAATTCCCATTTCAAATGCTTCATTTAACATCTAAGAAATGTTGCGCCACCAACTCCCACTGAAAGTGGTGCAGATTTTTGCCCTTCTTTCCTTTGCCATTAGAGTCATTGGAAATGGCAAGAGTGAATTTATGGATTGGATTCAAGCATCAGTGCAACAGGCTACTGTATTGGGAGACTCCTCTGCTAATATAGGGCAATAATACAAACAAAGAAAGAATGGATGTATTGTGATGTATAGCATTTGTCCATGGTTGTGCAGTTTTTGTACTGTTTCGTCTTCCTCTCTTTTCTGCTAGGTGCGCACCTACTAACGGTCAGTGTGAGTGCCTTCCGAACATCGTGGGCCGTCAGTGTTCTGAGCCAGCTCCAGGCTACTTCTTCTTACCTTTGGACTATTATATATATGAAGCCGAAGACTCAATGCCACTCCCAGGATCTTCACCTTTGGTATTTTATTTGGTGTTACTTCCCATATTCATATTCATAGAGAACGCAGGTGGTGCTGTGGTCTAAACCACTGAGCCACTTGGGCTTGCCGATCAGAAGGTCAGTGGTTCAAACCCCCACGACAGGGTGAGCTCCTGTTGCTCGGTCCCTGGTCCTGCCAATCTAGCAGTTCAAAAGCACACCAGTGCAAGTAGATAAATAGGTACTGCTCCGGTGGGGAGGTAAACGGCGTTTCCGTGCGCTGCTCTGGTTTTGGTGTTCCGTTGCACCAGAAGCGACTTAGTCATGCTGGCCACATGACCCAGAAAAACTGTCTGTAGACAAGCGCCGGTTCCCTCGGCCTATAAAGCGAGATGAGCGCCCAACCCCAGAGTCGTCCGCGACTGCACTTAACTGTCAGGGGTCCTTTACCTTTCCCATATTCAAAGTGCAGTTGTGGTAATATAGATCAAAACTAAAGAGGGGAGTCAGAGCAGGAGCAGAAGTGAGAGGGGAAGAATGAAAGACGTCAATCGAATGGCAGTATATTTTAATTTATGTTATTTACAAGATTTACAGACGATGTTACCGCAAAAATCCGTCCATGTATGGGATGTAGTAAGATGTACTTTTAAGCACGGTTGTGTTTCTGTTAATTAGTTAGTTAGTTAGTTAGTCTCTTTATCTTGTCCAGGGCAACCCAAAGTGACTTACAACCAACCAAACAGACAGACAGACAGACAGAAAACCTCACACAAGACACATTAAAACCAAGGGAAAGGAAATACATTAGAAGCATCCTGCACGCTTCTAAATGATCATAGATAGGTAAAGACCTGGTTACAGAGGAGAGTTTTTCCCTGACGCCTAAATATAAATGATGTTGGTGCCATGTAAGCCTCCTTGAGGAAAGTGTTCCACAAATGGGGAGCCACTGCAGAAAAGGCCCTGTTCTCATGTTGCCACCCTCCAGACCTTTTGAGGGGGCACATGAATAAGGGCCTGAGAGGATGATCACAGGGTCAGTTCACATGGAGAGAGGAGGTCCTTGAGGTACTGCAGTCCTGACCATTAAGGCTTTATGGGTCAATACCAACTCTCTGAATTGGGCTTAGAAACTAATTGGCAGCCAGTGCAGTTGGCCAAGATTGGCGTTATATGCTCAAATTGTCTTGCCCTGGTGTGCAACCTGCATGCTGGAATCTGGCAGTGGACAGAAGGTAGATTTGGATCTACTGGTAAATCTCTGGGTGACTGGCAATAAATAGGCAAGTATTATTTCTTTTCTTTTACTCCCAATTGTTTAACAATAGAAACAGCACAATTATCCACCCAGCACCACTGCACTAAAGTTATAAAACTTCATAGCTAATCAATAGTTGTGCCCATTTCTTAATTTTCTCTTTTTATTCCCTTCCTTAATTAACATGATTACAGTTTAAAAATTAGAAGTTTGATTTTATTGGATTTAGATCCCCACCCCAAGTTAAGCAGAGTTCTCTTTGTGGGTAGGTTAGTAGTACAGAGTTCCTTGACATGGAGAATAATATATGGTTTAGACTATTAATTATGCAGATTCATTACTTTCCTAGTTGTCCATTGTTTGATTGTGTTTGTGTGTCAACTAAAAAACCAAAGAAAACCAGCATTTTGACACTTAAAACACCTGTTTATAAGGTTCAGCCCACAGCTTTACCATGGTGTGATGTCTATTTTCGGCAACAAGGTTATGATTTCAAAATTGAAAATGGAAAGATCGTATTGAACAGAAACAAGAAACGAGGCATAAGAAAAGCAGCCGTTGGACAGGTAACACGAATGTCCCATTAATTGGTTTGTAAGGGATTTCAAGGAAGGGAAACCCATCTCTTAAAAGTCTGGAGTAGGATCCTTGGAGAACTGTAATATATGTGCCTTATTTGAGTCACTTCGCCTTATCTGTAGCTTATGGCTTGTGCGAAACAATGAGTAACCTCTTAGGTTATTGGTGAGAGGATTTGAGAATTTACTGGCGCTTGGTTTGTATGTATAAAGTTCTGCATTCAATCCTTGGATCTCTGGTAGGAGGACTAGGAGCCTGTAGATCTTTCACTACTGCCAGTCAAGATTTACATTTTTTGGTTAGATGGACCATTGGTCTGATTTGTGTACATAATTTTCTCATATTTTGCAGTCTTCATGAATGGGACATTCCTCTAATCCATCCCAATCCTATGCAATTATTCCCCCTCCCCACCAAGAAAGGCTTCAGAATGCTGTTAACATTTCCGAAAGACATAAGATATCTCAAAGAAATGTAATTAATGTGGTCATAATGCACTGACACGTTGGCTTGAAATACTAAAATATCAAGGGTGTAAAATAAAATTTAAAAAACTATTTATGTTCTGCATAGTTCACACATATTCCTGATTAGTCAATAAGGAATATTGCTGATAACCTGGATGGAGATAGTAGCCAGGTTTCTGCAACACTCAATGAGTACAGTCGTACCTTGTATCCCAAACACCTTGGTACTCGGACGTTTTGGCTCCCGAACGCCGCAAACCCGGAAGTGAGTGTTCCAGTTTGCAAACATCCTTTGGAACCCGAACATCCGCCAGGGCTGCTGCGGCTTCCAATTGGCTGCAAGAACTTCCTGCAGCCAATCAGAAGCTGTGCCTTGGTTTCTGAACATTTTGAAAGTCGAATGGACTTCTGGAACGGATTCCATTCGACTTCCAAGGTACAAGTGTATTTGTGAATGTTATATAGCACTAACTTAACTGTTAGATGCTGGGTTTTTTTTTTAATGAGTGGTATTTATTTGTGGCTGGATCTACATTGATCTTCTAGAATGTTATATTTAATAATGCTTAAAACGTGTAATGCAGTTTCTCAATGGTGGTGGCTTACTGCTCTGCAACGCCCTCTGGTGTCACATTTTAATAACATATTTTTAACGTTATAAACTAAGAGTGTAGATCCGCCCTGATTGTAAGTAAGAAGGCCCTAGTCACCTAACTTCAATTATTCATACTACTGTTGAACTTGAAGCTGGCCTAACTCATCTTCCCTTTTCACAAAGGACTTATGGGACTGGCAGGGACCCTCCACTCAAGAATAGGCTTTGAAGAGGGGAAATGCAAGAGTTCATGGCTACCCTGGCTAAGAGTGTGTGTGGTTCTACACCTAGCAAGACAGGATTCATTTTGTTTCCTGAATAAATGTGATATTTAAAACGCAAATCTATCCTTTCAGGATTCAATTCTGTTTGGCAGGAACCCTGCTCTGGATGTTGTTATTAGAGAGTCTGTTGCTGGAAAACCTGTGACATGGTCAGGGCCGGGTTTTGTACGAGTTCGGAATGGAGCGGGGTTAAGATTTACCGTCAACAACATCCCTTTCCTGATGGATTTTAATATCATCATTCGCTATGAGCCAGAGGTAATTCTTACACTTCATACTTTTCCCATGGCGGTTTCAACTCTTTTTCGAATCCTCAAAAAAAGAGCAAAGACTTTAAAGTAAAGCAAAATATGGACCATATTTAAAATGTGTATGTGGAATATATTGAACAAAACCACACAAAACTTATCCTGATCTTCAGATTTATCTTTGTCATGTTAATAGTCACCACTACATGCCTTTCCCTCATTAGTTTTGTGGTGCGAACATTTCTCAGCGTATGAAAATCGTAGAACTGTAGATGCAGACACTGCATAATGCCCAAATCTTAGGATCTGCGTTTGTATGGATGCCGTATATGTGTATTGCAGAAGGGGATTGTCACCGACTATTTATAAGTGTAAATTTCTGGTGGAGCAAGAGCATTTATGCAACTCTTGTTGGATTTCCTTGTTCCCTGGTCAATTAAACTCACGATGTTCTTGTTTATAGGCACGGAAAGAATCAAGCATGTTTCAACTTTGTTTGAAAACCAACTTATTTTTTCTTCCCAAACACATAGACTTTAGAAGACTGGATAGCAAGCATTGCTGTAAAGACTTCAGGTTCTAGAGGAAGCGAACACTGCGGGAAAACAGCGGCCCTGCAAGAGCCACACTCACTTGCTCTACCATATACATCAAGGTTTGTAAATTGCGTGGAGAGGCGGAGTCCCCCCAACCCCAGGCGACCCCCAAGCAGAATAATGACTCAAGACAACGTGCTATGGGATTAAAATTGGCCACAACTTTATTAAGTATCAGATGTGGGGAGACCTTGGCTCAGGCATTAGGCGTTTATCCTTCCTAGTCCCCAGCCGGGGATCTGGGAGACATCAGGGTTATCCAGAATGGGTGGGGATTGGGCTGGCTCTGGAGAACATACGTTCAAGCAGAGAGCCTCCCGTTTCACTGCCGTCGCAGGGGAGAGCAATGACAACCTCTTGGCGTATGGCCAATGCCTCCCCTCAAGACCCCTTTAACGGGGAACCCTGGGATCACCGCTGCAAGGGGGCGTGGGTCGCCGCTTCACCCCCCCCCCCCATTTAGGAAGATAGATTAAAGGATTCCGCCCAAGGCCTGAAATCACCACCCAAGCCTACAAAATCGCGGTCTCGCCGCCAAGACTACCTACACCTGAAAAGGCCCTTTGCCATCCAACATCCATTCCAAAAGGCCATGCCTAATGTCACCTAGCCAACAAAGGTCCCTATAGTTAAAGCTATGGTTTTCCCAGTAGTGATGTATGGAAGTGAGAGCTGGACCATAAAGAAGGCTGATTGCCCAAGAATTGATGCTTTGAATTATGGTGCTGGAGGAGATTCTTGAGAGTCCCATGGACTGCAAGATCAAACCTATCCGTTCTGAAGGAAATCAGCCCTGAGTGCTCACTGGAAGGACAGATCGTGAAGCTGAGGCTCCAATACTTTGGCCACCTCATGAGAAGAGAAGACTCCCTGGAAAAGACCCTGGTGCTGGGAAAGATGGAGGGCACAAGGAGAAGGGGACGACAGAGGACGAGATGGCTGGACAGTGTTCTCGAAGCTACCAGCATGACTTTGACCAAACTGTGGGAGGCAGTGGAAGACAGGAGTGCCTGGCGTGCTCTGGTCCATGGGGTCACGAAGAGTCAGACACGACTAAACGACTAAACAACAACAAATGTCGAGTTCCTTCCTGAGGTTTGGATGCTGGGATTCTTCAAGATCCAGGGGGGCTGCGTGCGACCATGCAAAAGGCACCCCTCATTTGATGTGGGGAGCGGTCATTATCTGTTTGTTTCTTCAAAGAAGATATATTGGGGGAGAAACCCAAGGAGAGGCTATCCTTTCCCCTTATGTCTTCCAACACTTGGTCATTTCTGTTCTGTTACTGTTCTGTTACTCATGCACACGAATAGCTCCAGCAAATGAGCATCATAAAACCTTGGGGGAAAGAATGACAGAATTCTTTAATTTGTTTTGACTTTTCAATTAAACAGAATGGAGCTGCTACCTGCTGCTGCATGCTTCGAACCAGGAACAGAATATTTTGTAGATGTCTATTTTTCCAAGTCTTCTGCCTCTGATCCAGGGACCCGGTCATCCATATTGGTTGATTCAGTAAGTATCTGTGCTGCGTAGCAACTTTTCTTTGTGTTTGATCACATTTTCTTGGGATGTTGGTTGGTTCATCCGTCTGTCTGCCCATTCCCTTATTTATATCCTACCTGTCAGGTGGCCAGCAACTGCCATTACAGACATTAATCAATAAAACGGATAGGGCATCGCTGATTTTGGAAGCTGTGTGCCTTAAGACAGCAGGGAGTATAAGTGACTAAAGGAAGGCAGACTGGAAAAGGAAGGAGGAAATAATTCAAGGTTGCTTAGGCCAATAATAACAACTCCAGTGTAAAAATATATTATTAATCCAATTCAGCTGTTAAAAGAGATTCCCCCCACCCTGAACTATACCTTCTTTATGCAGTTGTTTAAAACTTCTTTGCTTTTGTCAATTTTGAAGCTTGGACTTATTCCTAGAATCAGTTCAGTGGAAAACTTTTGCGACAAATCTGATTTAGAAGAGTACCAGCAGTATCACTGCATTGAAATAGCTTCAGAAATTGGACCGCATATCCTACCAGAAGCATGTGAAAAACTAATAGCAAGCCTGTCTGCCCGTATTCACAATGGAGCAGTTTGTAAGTATCAGTACCACTGGCTTCCTGCTTTTGCATGCTGCCAATATTTTCCAAGGAATAGCAAAAGTGAAAGTACTTTTGTTGTTCTGACTTCTTAAAATAAACTTAAAAATTCAAGAGACACTAAAACTGTTTTCCATGTGATTTAACTGGCCATTGAAAGATGTTTGCAAATGGTACAAAATTTCAACAGCCTGTTTCTTGCTGGGTAGGATACCACAGTATATAGCAGAGTTCTGTAATGTACTGGCTTTTGCTTTGACCATTTGCTGTTTCCTTTCACAAAGCATGAGGTTTGCAGTACAAAACAGTACAACACGATTGCAAAGGTTTGGCACCAGTTTGGAGGGAATCAGACAATCTTGGGTTTTGGAGGGATACCTGTGGCCTGTGGTCACTTAGGGGTTTACTTTTTGGGGGGGTTTGTGCACGGTTTGTGATACAAAACGATTGCAAAACTTTGCCCCCAGTTTGGCGTGAATCGGACAATGTTGGGAGTTTGGGGGTTAACCTCGGTTTGAATTGCCCATTACTCAGTTTGGAGGGGACAGTGCAAAATGAGTACAAAACTTTGGCACCAGTTTGGAGGGGATCCCAAATTCTAGGGTTCATAGTTAATAAAGCTGGACTGAGAGGTGGAGGCAGTGTCACAGGCTGGTCTCCAAGGCAAGAGAGGCATCTTCCATCCCTGCCATCCATTAAGGTCACCAGGGGAAGCAGTGCTAAAGATGCCAACACCTTGCACAGTGAGATCAACATGGAAAAGAAGCCAGATCTTTACAGTAGCAGCTTCTGCCTTTGCTTCCCAATCTGATAAAGCTCAGCATTGGCTATCCCTACATGTTTACTGAAGCAAGCCAAAAAGGAAAGCAGCCCAAAGCATGTTTTTAAAAATACATTTTCAACTAATCTAAGATCAGAACAGTCTTGGTTGGCTTTCCGGCTTTCCTGCTATTTTTTTTTTTTAATATTCAGGTTTTGTTGTCGGTATTTTACCTTTTGATTTACTACCCTGAAGAAGAGGAGAATGCAAATAATTTAAATTAATAAATGCAGAGTTTGGTTGCAATCATCTGTTTGTATGAGAAAGCATGTTTCTGTTAAAAGCCTGCAGGTGCCATCCACAAGGGTCAATGAACTCTAACTGCGAGAAACTTGGAGGTCAATGTCAATGCAAACCGAATGTCATGGGGCGCTGTTGTGATAAATGCTCAGCCGGAAGCCATAGTTTTGGGTCTCAAGGTTGTCTTTGTAAGTACTGATTGCCACTTGCTTTCAGTTGTGGTTTGTTTGTTTGTTTGTTTTGTGCTTTTAAAATTTTAAGCTATTTCCTTTTTTAAAAACAACAATGTTTAAGTCATGTGGGCAGACTTTTGTTTTCCTTGAACCTGGGAAACCCGAACTGAAATCTCCTGATGAATGTGAACACTCTGGGTGGTCTTAGGCTAGTCATTATTTCACGTCAAACATTCCTCATCTGTAAAATGGGGATAAGGCTGACTGGTCTCCCATTGCCCTTTATGAGAATAGGTATGGACTGTTGATCATATGGTCAACAAAGAGCAAGAGACATCTGTCTATACAGAGATCTTGGTCATGTCACATTGAGGGCTTTATATTAAGATAACGCAAGAATTTGTCATTTAAGTATCATCTCTGCTTCTTTTCCATCAAGCATGTGACTGCCATCCTCAAGGATCCGTGAGTGCTCTGTGTGACCAGGTGACAGGGCAGTGTTCATGCCGGCCAGAAACAGATGGCCGACGGTGCAGTCAATGCCTGGCTGGGTACTTTGGATTTCCCCATTGTCGGCCTTGCCCTTGCAATGGCTTTGCGGAACTGTGTGACGCTCAGACTGGAGCATGCTTGGACTGCAGAGGGTTTACAGCTGGAGCCAACTGTGAAAGGTATGGGTGGGTGGACACTGAGAAGATGCAAATTTAATGCACATCTTTAAGTGGCAGGGATAGAAAATAGCAGAGATGGGGGTTTGGGTTGGGGGGCAAATAATGTTTATGGGTGGACCTGATGGCCATAGGGGTACAGACCAACTTCACATCCCCCACGATGGCTTTTGTGCTGCCATTGTGCATGCACACATTTATTTTTTATGTGTAAATGCACACACACATTTTTATTTATTTATTGAATTTATATACTGGCTTTTCCGAGAGGTCTCAGGGCATTTCACAGAACAAGATCAACATATAAAACCACAATATGTATAATCAAAATAAAAACAACAACCTAATAATAACCCCCCCAAAAGAGCCACGTTTTAAAAGGTCATAGGATTTCAATCAGATCAACCAAAGGCCTGGTTAAAAAGGAACGTTTTTGCCTGGTGCCTAAAGGTGTCTAATGAAGGCACCAGGCGAAATTCCCTGGGGAGAGCATTCCACAGACAGGGAGCCACTGCAGAGAAGGCCCTGTTCTCGTGTTGCCATCCTCAGGACCTCTTAAGGTGGAGGCACACGAAGAAGGGCCTCAGAAGATGATCTCAGACTCTGGGTGGGTTCATATGGAAAGAGGCGGACCTTGGGGTATTGCGGTCCTGAGCCATTTAAGGCTTTATAGTTGAAAACCAGCACTTTGAATTGGGCCCAGAAACTAATTGGTAGTCAGTGCAGTTGGACCAGGATCGGTGTAATATGCTCAAACCGTCTTGCTCCAGTGAGCAACCTGGCCGCTGAATTCTGCACCAGCTGAAGTTTCTGAAACATCTTCAGAGGCAGCCCTACGTATAACATGTTGCAGTAATCTAACCTTGAGGTTCCCAGAGCATAGACAACAGTAGTTAGACTACCCCTGCCCAGATAGGGGCGTAGCTGAGCCACATGCTCACACATAGGCAGTGGGTCCACTCCATCAGTTACGTCAGTGATGCCACAGCCACAAAACAAGGAAAGGCGAACCGTTGCTGGGTTTTTTTATGGAATAGAAACCCTGTATGCTACTTTCAGGTTCAGAGGCCGTATGAATCAAATACAAGAGAGGGCTGGTTGCAATCTTACCAGACGGTTGGCCACTCTGAGAAAAGAATGCTAGGCTGGGTGTGCCTTTCGGCAAAATCCAAAAGAGCTCTCTCTTCTTATGTTCTTGCCTTCTTCTGATGCCATTTTGAAATAGGTTCATAAAAATGCAATTATTATTATTATTATTATTATTATTATTATTTATACCCCGCCTTCCCCAGCCAAGGCCGTGCTCAGGGCGGCTAACAAGCAATAATAAAAACAAGTTGAATGAATACAACTTAAAAACAAGATTAAAATACAACATTAAAATATTGAAGCATTAAAATATTCAAATGTAGCCTCATCGCAGAAGGAGAAGGAAAAGAAAAAGAAAGAGAGGGAGGGAATCAAATTCGCTCCAAGCCAAAGGCCAGGCAGAACAACTCTGTCTTACAGGCCCTGCGAAAAGAAATCAGATCCTGCAGGGCCCTGGTCTCATGAGGCAGAGCGTTCCACCAGGCCGGAGCCAGTGTTGAAAAGGCCCTGGCTCTGGTTGAAGCTAATCTAACTTCCTTAGGGCCCGGGACCACTAGGTGTTGCTATTTATGGACCTTGAGGCTCTCCGTGGGCGTGCCAATGGGCCATGTAGTCCAGCAGCCTGTTTTCACCGTGGGCAACCAGATGCCTATGGGAAATCTGTAAACAGGATTCGAGCGCTAGGGAACTCTCCCATCCTGTGGTTTCCAGCAACTGGTATTCAGAACCATTACTGCCTCGAACCTTGGAAGAAGATCATTAGCCATGATGGTGAGGAGCCTTCAATAGCCTTATTCTCCATATTCACTGTTCTTTTTGGCAGATGTGTAGATGGTTATTATGGAAACCCTCTCAAAGGAGAGCCGTGTCGTCCATGCATGTGCCCAGACGCTCCAACAAGCAGTAGGTACTTTGCCCATTCCTGTTACCAAGATCCTTGGACTTTGCTATTAGTCTGCAACTGTCTTGTGGGCTATTCAGGTAGGAACCATGACATCTTCTATGAGTTTCACAATTTCTGTTTTATGTTGTCAGAGACGGAGGAAAATCACAATCCATTCTAACTTTGGCTATTTGTCTGTATCCCTTTTTTTTAAAAAAAATAGTTTGCGTTGTGGGATATAGGGTAGGAGGATATGGTTTGGCCCAAACTCCCCAAATATAGGCCAGATTGGGAGGCTTGGTGGACCACAGGCTAAAGGTTCCCAAGTACTGATGGAGGAACTAAACAGATGCAATATTCAGTGAAGTTTCTAGGTTTGGGGGCAGTGACATTTAAGACTGCAGCCCTATACAACTCTTGCTGAACTCACTTCTGAGTTCAGCATAGGAATGCACGGTTAAGTTCCTTCCAAGTATGGTAGTGGAGAACCCATTTTTAAAAGTTTGAGGAAACACTAGCACAAGTATTTCCAAATATTTATTATTTGTGTGTCTTTGTGGGTATGTTTTATTTTAACAAAATTTAATATACCACTCGGTTGTTTAAAAAAACCCTCTGAGCAATTTACAACAATATAAAACAAAATATTGTTTTTTTACAAATTCAAAAGATGATTGAAATCAACAGTAACTAAACAATAAAACACATGTAACTTCTATATGTCTGGATAGAACTAACCTATATTTATTTATTTATCTGTTTAACTCTTAACAGTTAGGGTTCTTTATATTTATATTATGGAATCTGCTGGTGTAATGTTATTTCTGGAAAGGTGAGCCGTGTCTGACTGTCACCAGCAATTGTGTGTGAATTTTGGTTTGTTAGGTGATCGGTGTGATGAATGCCCCGGTGGGTTCTACAGGAATCCAAATGCAGTAGCCAGCCAATGTCTTCCATGCTCCTGTAATAATAACATTGATGTGGCAGATCCAGACTCCTGCAACAAGGACACTGGGGAGTGTTTGAAATGCTTGCACAACACCCATGGACCAAGCTGCGAGTTCTGTAAACCAGGTTACTTTGGATCAGCACTCCTTCAAAACTGTAGAAGTAAGCAAACAACTTTTATAGATTACAAATCAAGGACTGAGCACATAAAGGAAAATAAAATTGGTGTTGGCTAGAATGAATTATGCACGTCAATGAAATCATCATGGATTCTCCTTAGTAGCATGATTTATTCTGGCTACAGTATTATTGCATAAGGTGGAATGTTTGGGAGTACAGTGGTACCTCAGGTTAAGTACTTAATTCGTTCCAGAGGTCCGTTCTTAACCTGAAACTGTTCTTAACCTGAAGCACCACTTTAGCTAATGGGGCCTCCCGCTGCTGCTGTGCCACCGCCACGTGATTTCTGTTCTCATCCTAAAGCAAAGTTCTTAACCCGAGGTAATATTTCTGGGTTAACGGAGTCTGTAACCTGAAGCGTATGTAACCTGAAGCGTATGTAACCCGAGGTACCACTGTAGAGCATTTGATGGCAAGATGAAAGGTTACACAGTTGGCTAAAGGTGTTCTAGGACCAATGCTGATAGGGAGAGTCAAAAGGCATGTACAGAGAATTCAGTTTTGAAAATAACGTAATTTTGATGTTTACAATGTAAGGTAACTTAAATTCCTGGTAGAGCATTGCTTTTTTTTTTTTAAAGGGATTTCCCCCCATAACTAACTGTTATTTATACAGAATGTGACTGCAACCCTTTGGGTGTGGACCCAGTGAAATGCCCATCTGGAAATGGCTTTTGCCTGTGTGATCAGATGACGGGAATATGCCCTTGCTTGCCTCATGTGGTAGGCACCAAGTGTGATCAGTGCGCTGCTGGCTACTGGAACATGATCCAGGGAACCGGATGTCGCATCTGTGACTGCAATCCAAGACATTCCCAGAACAACTTATGTGATCAGGCAAGGCTATTGAGCTGAGTCTCCATTTATAAATTATAATGTCGCTAAATTTTAATGCCTGTCTCAAGGATTTCCTCTTACCCGCTGTTTCTCTTACCCGTTTCCCAGGGACAGCCCCTGGATTTGCGAATAAGTCCCTGGACAAATTCCAACCCCAGAATGTCCCCGGATTTCATCTAATGTCCCCGGGAAATGCAGCAGCGGCAGTCTCTCTCTCTCTTTTTTATAAGATATTTATTAAGATTTTCAAAGTATTACAAAATAAAAAAGAAAAAAGAAAAATACAAAATAAATTCCATCTTTCCATTACTTAACTTTCATTTGCTTATTTCCCAGACCTCCTCACACCTCCCTTTTTTGTATTCCAATTCAATTTGTTAGTTCAGCAAATCCTTTCCCTCTTTGTTTATCCTAGTCTTTAATTTTAAAATATTGTAACATTAAATTTTTACCTGTTAATAATCCATTTTTTCATATTCCTTTTAGCATTTTAGCTAAAAACCACATAACTTCTTATCCAACATCATTCTAACATTCATTAATTTTACAATATTTCTGTAGATAGTCTTTAATTTTTTTCCAATCTGCTTCCACCGACTCTTCTCCCTGGTCTCGGATTCTGCCGGTCATTTCTGCCAGTTCCATATAGTCCATCACTTTCATCTGCCATTCTTCCAGGGTGGGTAGATCTTGTGTCTTCCAATACTTTGCAATAAATATTCTTGCTGCTGTCGTAGCATACATAAAGAAAGTTCTATCCTTCTTTGGCACCAATTGGCGGCAGTCTCAGCAGCCCAGAGCAGTTGGCTCTGGTTGGCTTCAGGAACTGCTCGGAAGTCGCCCTATGGTGGTGGTGCCGGCCTCAAAGATGCAGTTTCTGGGCTGCCTCCACCTTCCCTGACCCCAGCAACTAAGCTGTGAAGGGAGGTTTCATGCTGCCTATCGGAGCAGCCTCCCAACTCCTACTTGCGTGCAAGCAGGAGCGGGGCAGGGATATCTCAGGTAGGCAACACTAACATCTCACATCATATGTAACTGATATATGGGAAAGACTTTGCAACCTGAGTAAAGAGACAATGCACAAACTTTTGTAAACCAAGAAAATCTTTAATTTTTTTTTAAAAAAACCCTGCCCTTTAAGGCAGTAATCTGAAAACACACATATTCTGAAAAGAAACTAACTATGGAAATGCAAAAATAAGAGCAAGTTTTTAGGTTTTTTTCAGAGATCAGAAAAAAACCCCTGAAAAGAAGTGCTTACATACATATGAGTTGGCAGTTTACGTAGCATGGGGGGAAATTGCAAAGAAGGCAGGGAGTCCATTAAGCCCGTTTCTCACTGTAGACTCTTTTTGCAGCTCACAGGTCAATGTCCGTGTAAAGTGGGCTATACTGGAAGACGTTGCGACGCATGCGATGAAAATTATTTTGGTGATTCTCAAATCCATTGTTTCTGTAAGTACTGTAGTAGTATGTAGCAGAAATCCTAACATTTTTTTAATTGAAAACAGAATATTTGTACCCCTCAGATTTGAACAATCATTGCAATGTTTTAGATGTTTATAGATGTCTTTATTTTATTTTTAATTGTATTATTTAGTTGTTTTGATTTTGCCTCCTTGGGCTCCTTTGGGAGGAAGTGCGAGATATAAATTATCATTATTATTAATGTCTAGCAACTCTTTTTGGGGCAAGGAAATGAGTGGATTGTAATGCAAGCTGCAGATGAAATTGATTATCTCAATTCCTTCCAATCTTGCTTCCACATAAGGAATGGTCTCAGGGAACCTTCAGACTGGAGTACTGTATTGCACTCCAGAAGGGACTGTCCATGAAAATCATTCCAGAAATGACAACCAGTACAACATGCTTATACGTACTACGTATTTTTATTCCATCATGCTAGTTTTGTGTGATCTGTACTGGTGGACCTTTAAGGCCTTAAACAGCTTGGGACCTGGGTACATTAAGGACTTCTTTCTTCCGTATATTGGTTTTTAAAATCTTATTATTTATTTGCTAGTTTACTCTGATTTTTTAATAATTATTCTGATGACTATTTTCGAATTTGTATTGTTCTTTTAGGGTTTTTTATGTTAATACTTTGACTTTTTGATTAAGTTTAGCTCTAGAGATTGTGCATTTTTATATTGTCAGATTTTGATGAGTAAGCTGCCCTGAGTTTCCTCTAAAAATTAGGCAGGCTATACATGAATGAATGACCTTACTCTGTTTCTATCCTATTTCTCTAACATATAACTTATACATTTCAATTGCGGGTATTTATTTTAAGGTCTGGGTGAAATTGTTTTATTGTGTATTTTAATTATGCATGTTTACCTTGGATCATGAACGCCTTGGTACTTGGACGTTTTGGCTCCTGAACACCGCAAACCTGGAAGTGAGTGTTCCATTTTGCGAATGTTCTTTGGAACCCAAACATCCAATGGGGCTTCCGATTGGCTGCAGGAGCTTCCTGCAGCCAATCAGAAGCCACACCTTGGTTTCCAAACATTTTGGAAGTCGAACGGACTTCCGGAACGGATTCCATTCGTCTTCCAAGGTATGACTGTATATTTTTTTGAAATCTGTTCTGCATGTACAAACTGCTTAGAAACCATCTTGGAAATTAAGTGGCATATAAATGTACTGTAATTATAATTGTAATAACTTCATTCGTCAATTATCAGCAGTTATAACATATTGTGCTTTCACCACCACCACCCCCCTTGCCAGCGTGTAAGTGTAGCACGGACGGCACTCTGACACCCGGGTGTGATAAAGACACTGGAGCCTGCAACTGCCGTGTTGGGGTCACTGGAAGATTCTGTGACCAATGTGCTCGGGGCTACATCCAGGAATTCCCTTCCTGCCGCCGCTGCCACGTTTGTTTTGATCAGTGGGATAACGCCATTACTTCCCTGTCTCAGAAAATCCAAAAATTAATGAGGTTTGCCGCAATGCTGGGAGATAAGAGACAGACAATGCCTGGCTGTGATGTAGACCTCAAAGGCCATGAAGATACAATTTCTGAAATAGAAAGAATCCTAAAAAACCCCACCCTCTTGCCAGAGGTGCTGTTGAGCATGAAGAAGGAGCATGGCTACATTCGGTGAGATGCGTTTCCTTAGACAGGAGTTGCTCATTTGTTCATCATTTAACAGATATTTATTTAAGCATGGTCTCAGGTCTCAGGTCTCAGGCTGGGGAGAAGCTACTGAAAGCTTGGGGTCCAAATTCAGCTCCCTAAAATGCTGCACATCTTGTTCCTCCTCCAAAAATACTCAGTTCAGCAGCTTTCACCCATGCTGAGGCATAAATGGGGCTTCTTAATCCACCCATCCTGTAGCATGAACAATAACAAAAGCTCCAGCAGGGTCCTTTGCTTGTATTTTTACATCAGTTGCTCGTTCAGTTTAAAAGCTAAGGTACAGGGAAATGGGAATGAGCAAGTGAGGGACCTAGAGGAAGAACTCTGCCAAAGTTTCTCTTTTGACCAGGCCTCAGCACCCAGGGGACGCGGGTGGCGCTGTGGTCTAAACCACTGAGCCTCTTGGGCTTGCTGATCAGATGGTCGGCGGTTCGAATCCCCGCAACAGGGTGAGCTCCCATTGCTCGGTCCCAGCTCCTGCTAACCTAGCAGTTCAAAAGCACGCCAAAAAGTGCAAGTAGATAAATAGGGACCACTCTGGCGGGAAGGTAAACGGCGTTTTCGTGCACTGCTCTGGTTTCAGGGTTCCATTGCGCCAGAAGCGGCTTAGTTATGCTAGCCACATGACCCGGAAACACTGTCTGCAGACAAATGCTGGCTCCTTGGCCTGTAAAGCGAGATGAGCGCCGCAACCCCAGAGTCATTCGCGACTGGACTTAATGGTCAGGGGTCCTTTACCTTTACTTTATCTTTACAGCACCCAGTAAGGTAAAGGTAAAGGTACCTCTGACTGTTAGGTCCAGTTGCGAACGACTCTGGGGTTGTGGCGCTCATCTCGCTTTACTGGCCGAGGGAGCTGGCGTACAGCTTCCGGGTCATGTGGCCAGCATGACTAACTAAGCCACTTCTGGCAAACCAGAGCAGCACACGGAAACATTGTTTACCTTCCTGCCGGAGCGGTACCTATTTATCTACTTGCACCTTGATGTGCTTTCAAACTGCTAGGTTGGCAGGAACAGGGACTGAGCAATGGGAGCTCACCCCGTCGCAGGGATTTGAACCACTGACCTTCTGAACGGCAAGTCCTAGGCTCTGTGGTTTAGACCACAGTGCCACCCGCGTCCCTTATATGGCAGGCTAAAATGCTAGGCCCCATAGGGCCCACTGCAGCTGACAGTGGCCTTTCTTTACATTTAAAAAACTTCTTTGCTGGCCCAGTGCTCTGATGAAAGCACTGGGCAAAGCAGCCGCAGCACCTGCCATCATTTTTATTTCCCCAGAATGCATCTGGGCCTTGACGTGAACTAAGCATCTGTGGACATGATAACTAATAACTTCAGATGACCTTTTTCAGGGTCAATTTTGTTTTTTCACGTTCATTCTAACTGGGGTAGGACTGACCCAAAAGCCAGAAGAGTAAAATAAATAAAAACATTATTTTTCACAAAATGAAGGAAAGATGCCCCAGAAATACCAATTCATTTGTGGTCTACCTGGAACATCAAATGGTGGAAGACTGACATACAAGTTTTATCAGGTTCCCACACCCCCACCAGTGCTGCTTTTAACTCCACCTGTCAACAGAGGATGTCCCACTTCCAGAAACAGACCTATAAATATTTGGGGCTTGCCTCCAATCTTAGGGTAGCTGTGGTACCACAATCTGGCATTTCCTTTACGTTTAGCATGTGCTGCCTTTCCAACTGATGCTATGAATATATTTTTTAGTCTGGGATACATCACTTGTAAATATTACCAAAGTGAATTAGACAGCTATTGCTTAAATTGAATGTGCAATAGGGGAAAAGGAGGAACTTGATTCAGTTTTTTGCATTTAAAGCTTAATCGATCAAATTTGCAATTCCCAAAGCAATACTAGAAACTGAAACACGGCCATCCTTTGAAATTTGCGCTTTCCTGAGTTTTGCGGTGCAGTTTTCCAACCAGTGTTAAAAAAAATACACATATTAGGTGAAATTGTGCCTAAAAATGAATATATTCGTGAAAATAACATGCATGCACCATATTAGGCGAAACTGCTCAACAAATTTGCACATCTGTCAAAACTGCATACAAGGATGTGTTTATTAGGAGAAATTAACACTAAAATGCTGAATAATTTTCATGAGGATTTATTTTTAAATTGCAGATTGCTGCAGAAATGTAGAGAGTGGAATTTAAGATAAATGAGAAGATAAGATAAATGAGAAACTGAGAAGACTGAAACTGACAGATGCTTCCATCCCTAATGTCATACCCATGTCAATGTAGAATCTGCCTAATACAGAAAGTACAAAAAAGAATGCCACTCCTCAAAACAAACTAAAGTGATGTGCATCTAGATAAAGTAACAGAAAATTTAGAATTTAGGAGTTTGAAGGGAGCTTGGAAGCCATCTAGTGCAGCTGCCTCCCTGCTCAAAGCAGGAATCCTGTCCAAAAACTGTTGGGTTCAAGATGCTGTGATTTCCCAGGAATATAGTCAAGACTAGTAAAAACCCATTAGTGTACTAGGTTAGGATGCTAAGTTTAACCCTAAATCTTAGGTGGCTGCTGATCTGTTGTTGTTCTTTCTAGACAAAAGGTTTCGGAAATGTATCAGCAACCTGACTTTCTGGACCAGTTCCCTGACCTCAACAGTATGATAGAAGGCATTAGGAAAGATGCTGACCATCTGTCTGAAACCCTGCAAAAGATGTCTGAGCTGCATCAAAGGAATAATTACATGCACCTCCAAGGTAGGAAGGGCCAATAATTAAACTTTATTAAATTACATGGGGGTTGGGGGAACATCACCACAATCCCTTGTAGTGCAGAGGTTTCAGACCTTCAGAATTTATATTTAAATTGAAACACTTAATTTATCAAGGTGAAAACTCGGTTACTATTCCTCTTGAGCAGCTTGAATGTCCCATAGCGATATAGTTTCGGTCATTCCAAATTTAACGAAGTCGCATTGTTTCAGAAAGCAAGCTAAATCTGAGAAGTCACCATTTCCTCTGCCTGGGTACTGTGATCCCAGGAATGCTCAGGCCCCTCTGCAGCTCATGTTTAATTTATTTTATTTTTTTATTGCATGTTAATTGCACTCATGCAATTAATGCTAATCCAGTTTAGTCCTTTGCAAACCCATTTAACAGAGGAGCAAAGGAGAGCCGTGCAATGCAATCACATGCATAGTTGCTTAGAAGTAGGACCCACTGTATATGGGACGCAGGTGGCGCTGTGGCGCCTAGGACTTGCTGATCAGAAGGTCGGCGGTTCGAATCCCCATGACGGGATGAACTCCCGTTGCTCGGTCCCTGCTCCTGCCAACCTAGCAGTTCGAAAGCACGTCAAAGTGCAAGTAGATAAATAGGTACCACTCCGGCAGGAAGGTAAACGGCGTTTCTGTGCACTGCTCTGGTTCGCCAGAAGCGGCTTAGTCACGCTGGCCACATGACCCGGAAGCTGTACGCCGGCTCCCTCGGCCAGTAAAGCAAGATGAATGCCACAACCCCAGAGTCATCTGCAACTGGACCTAACAGTCAGGGGTCCCTTTACCTTTACCTTAGGACCCACTGTGTTCAGTGTGGGTTCCTTCTCGGAACCTGGGCACTGGACTGCACCCTTCATTGCAAGTGAATTCCTTTGAAAGCAAAAGAAGTCAGCAGCTCTGGGTGTATTCCACTTGACCACAACTGGAACTGGGGTGTGTGGGTGGGAAACCCATGTAAGCTTCAGTTTCCCCTGAAGAGTTTTGGTCGAGAGCAAAATAATAGTTTCAGATTATTCTGTCATTCTCACAGAAGTGGGAATGACGTGTGATGATCATGCACATCAATTTCTGTTTCACCGTGAGTGCAGCACCAGGCATGGATGCAAACACTGCTCTGGTTTCTACGTTTGACTACTGTATAAACTAAATGCTAAATCAGGGGTCAGCAAACTTTTTCAGCAGGGGGCTGGTCCACTGTCCCTCAGACCTTGGGGGGGGCAGACTATATTTTTTTTGGGGGGGTGAACGAATTCCTATGCCCCACAAATAACCCAGAGATGCATTTTAAATAAAAGGACACATTCTGCTCATGTAAAAACATGCTGATTCTCAGACCGTCCATGGGCCGGATTTAAAAGACGATTAGGCCGGATCCGGCCGCCAGGCCTTAGTTTGCCTACATATGTGTTAAATGCATCTAGTTTAAATTGAAGTTGTGTGTGCATGGCTGTGTACACACTCCCATTTACTTTGCATCCACTACCAGTTTCAGAAGCAGTGTACACAATCCACATCTATCCTGCCATTTTTTATTGAAATGCTATGTTTTGATGCATTCTTCTCTGAATTGAGGGAGGGGGGAGAAGCATGACCTAGCTATGTTTTAAGCAGATAAAGTGTACAAAAGCATATGTGTGTGTTTGGCTCTCAATGGCTATTGTAAAGGGCCCCTGACCATTAGGTCCAGTTGTGACAGACTCTGGGGTTGCGGCGCTCATCTCGCTTTATTGGCCGAGGGAGCTGGAGTAAAGCTTCCGGGTCATGTGGTCAGCATGACTAAGCCGCTTCTGGCGAACCAGAGCAGCGCACGGAAACGCCGTTTACCTTCCCGCTGGAGCGGTACCTATTTATCTACTTGCACTTTGATGTGCTTTTGAACTGCTAGGTTGGCAGGAGCAGGAACCGAGCAACAGGAGCTCACCCCGTTGCGGGGATTCGCACCACTGGCCTTCTGATCGGCAAGCCCTAGGCTCTGTGATTTAACCCACAGTGCCACCCGCATCCCACATGGCTATTGTAGGACCCCTTTTTTGTCAGAACCGTGGTGCAAGGGAAAGTGGATTAACTCTTTCCTCCTCCTGCCACAGAATTGGGAAAATTATCTTTCTGAAGCTGCTATTACCCCAGGAGTGCCAGTGCAAACTTCCATCTCTGGGCTGATAGCAGCTTTGGGTAGGGGCTGGATGATTTTCATCAGACCTGTGATAGAGGAGGAAAGAGTTTAAACTCCCTCCTCACATACCATGATCCTGGCAACAGGACACCTCACACACCCTGAGTCGGGATCTCAAAGAGGAGAGCCCATTTATTTCAGTGGGTCCCATCTTCAATATATGAAGTGAAACAAGGCAAAGTAATGTTGTCATTTGATTCAGATTCCCTCAACAAAATAAATAACTATTACCAAATAATGTTGTCGGCCGGAGAGAGAATCAGTGGCTCAAAGTCTGTCCTAACACATGGAGGAAAAACCAGGAGTAATACATTTCGCATGTTAGATGATTTAGTTTCAAAAGAAAGTGCTGCATTGGGGCAGCTGAAGTTGTTCAACACTTCAGATATTCAACATCTAAATGAAAAGGTAAGTCTTAGTTCCTTGCGGGAAGTATAACTTTACTGCTCATAATGAATAATTCAGCCATCACAGCACGGCTGGTGAGAAATCATACGTATTTGTTTTATTGTGTAAATTGCCCTGAAAAAATATATGTTCTTAGCCAGTATGGAAGGCTTTGACCCGATAGAGAGGGACATAAATTGTGGAAACGAAGAAAGCCAACCTGTAAACCACAGCAGCAGAACTCTGCATTTTTGCTTGAAAGTGAGCCCCATTAAACCCCAACAAGTCATATTCTGTAGTAAATGTGGTTCATATTGAAATGTACAAATAAGAAACATGCTTCTTCACAATTACTACTGGGAATGCGTGTCTGGTGTGAACAGGGTTTAACGTCTGCAAGAGAAGAAAATGCTTTTATCATTGTGTCCAGTGTTAAGGAGTGCCATAAAAACTTTTTTAAGGGTTCCTCATTGGAAACATTAGTAATGCTGTCCTTAGAGACTTTGGGAGGAATTCAACATCACAGTCTTTCCGATTGTTCTGTCAGTGCAAGCATTTCTGCTTGCAAAACTGAATTATCACCCCTCCCCTCTACCAATGCACTCTTCTGCGGGTTCTCCTGACCCTCCAGAGCAGAGTGGGGAGAGGTGTGGGGAGAAGGGGAAAGGGAAAGCCCTGTTGCACTGGCTTCCGCTAGCATGCTAGGTTAGTTGAATCCGGGCCTATGGGTTGTGTCCAACACTCGTCCTAGAACGATTGAAATGAATGGTCGTAAATTAGTCATGTCTGTTAACTTCAATGGGTCTACAATGGGCATTTACTTGGTTGTGTTCCAAAGTGTGTTCTTAGGGCCAAGTTAAATGTGACACTTCTCTTTTCTTTTGCAAAATGCAGCTGCACAGCAAATCTCAATTCACATTAGATTACAGTGAGGCACAACAGGCCTAGTGCACACCCTGAAAGTGGTTGAGCTTTTTTCTACAAAACCGCAATTTTTGTTGTTGACTTGCCTAAGATCCAGGACAAAGCGCCGCCTTGCGGAAGTTCCCACCCAGACGTCAATTCAGTCTTTGAAGTTCCGGGAAAATCCTGACATATGGCAGTCCTCCCTTATCCATAGCTCAGATTGCTTTGCAAATCAATGCGGGGAGGGTTCTCTCAAGGTAGAAAGTTTTTGAAAAACCATTAATTTAAAAGAAGGCTTCATATTTCACCTTTCTGAGGTAGATGAAGAGCATACAAATGTAAGGTTTTCGAGCTCTCTTCTAGCACATTTCATTAATCTCATGTTGTATTATTGCTTCCTTCAACCAGTACATTTGTTTCGATGCAGATATGTGGATTACCAGGAAACTTCCCTTGCGGTGTATCAGATTGTGGTGGGGCTTTATGCCGAGATAGCCAGGGAAACAGACATTGTGGCGGCCCAAACTGTAATGGAGCACTCCCTCTTTCTACAAATGCTATCAGAGAAGGACGTCAGACAGTCCTGTTGTTAAATAACTTGACCAACCAAATGCAAGGATCTGAAGAGAAGGTACCGCATGTAACAGCAATCTTGTGTGTTTCAATGTAAACTTATTGAACATAGCACATTTGAGCTATGAAAGGTTTTTACAAAATTCTATTTTTTCCCAAGATATGCCAGTATCTTATTATATCTACAGTATTGAAATGTAGGTTTTTGTATGCTACTACATTTTCGTTTTGCTATCTTATTATGACTTTGTTTTCGTAGTGTTTGAAATGCATCCGTTTCTTTGTTGTAAGCCGCTTCTGAGCATGGTTGTTTTTTGTGGGAAAATGGCATACCAATAAAAATGAATGAACGACCAAACCCTTAGGCTCCTTAAGTATGGCTTAGAGAGTTCCAGATTCAGATGGGCCCAGAAGTTACAAAAACAAATGGCGTTATTACACCCAATGGAACCCAATGGAGCCAGTGTGGTGTAGTGGTTAAGAGCGGTAGTCATGTAATCTGGGGAACCGGGTTCGCTTCCCCGCTCCTCCACATGCAGCTGCTGGGTGACCTTGGGCCAGTCACACTTCTTTGAAGTCTCTCAGCCCCACTCACCTCACAGAGTGTTTGTTGTGGGGGAGGAAGGGAAAGGAGATTGTTAGCCGCTTTGAGACTCCTGAAGGAGAGTGAAAGGCAGGATATCAAATCCAAACTCCTCTTCTTCTTCTTCTTATCAGTTAGGGATGTGAAATGTAGAAACAGGTTTAGGAAATATGAATTTGCTTTGTCGGGGAAAGTTAAACTTTAAAGAGATCAGTTCATTATTTAAATATCTGTCTACATATCTATCTACACTCACAGATTGAAAGCATAAGGAAAATGACTGGGGATACCAAAAAGAAAGCCTCGCTGATGGCTGAAGAGCTGGAGAAAAATAAAGATCAAATAGAAAGGGAAAGAGAAAACATCAAAGAGCTCATCAAGAGATTGAAGAACTTTCTCTTAGGCAAGTATGCTCGAAACCCATTTTTTGATCCACCTGTCTTAGATATATCTGTTGTTGTTGTTTCGTTGTTTAGTCGTGTCCGACTCTTTGTGACCCCATGGACCAGAGCACGCCAGGCCCTCCTATCTTCCACTGCCTCCCGCAGTTTGGTCAAACTCATGCTGGTAGCTTCGAGAACACTGTCCAATCATCTCGTCCTCTGTCGTCCCCTTCTCCTTTTGCCCTCAATCTTTCCCAGCATCAGGGTCTTTTCCAGGGAGTCTTCTCTTCTCATGAGGTGGCCAAAGTATTGGAGCCTCAGCTTCAGGATCTGTCCTTCCAGTGAGCACTCAGGGCTGATTTCCTTCAGAATGGAGAGGTTTGATCTTCTTGCAGTCCATGGGACTCTCAAGAGTCTCCTCCAGCACCATAATTCAAAAGCATCAGTTCTTCGGCGATCAGCCTTCTTTATGGTCCAGCTCTCACTTCCATACATCACTACTGGGAAAACCATAGCTTTAACTATACGGACCTTTGTTGGCAAGGTGATGTCTCTGCTTTTTAAGATGCTGTCTAGGTTTGTCATTGCTTTTCTCCCAAGATATATCTGTATATTCATATTATATGTTAGACCAAGGATATTGGGACTTAAACAGTTCTTTCTCCACTTTTCCAAGAGGAGAGTGCCCCACCAGAAGACATAGAGAAAGTTGCAAACTATGTCCTGGGCCTCCAGTTGCCAGGGTCTCCCCAAGAGCTAAGCATGGTGCTCGACAAACTCAAGAGCCTCATGGCACACTGTGAGGTCTCCCCGACAGAGGTGAATGGGTTAAGTAAGCAAATGGAAGAGGCACAGGGACTATTGGCAAAAGCACAAGAAGCTGAGTAAGTACAAGATTGTCTTCCTTTACAGTCCTGCCATTGGGTGGGATAGATTGGATGTGGCTGAACAACTATTACACAAAGCCATGTTGACTGCTTCAAGGCTGAATTGGCTGAATTGGAGATGAAGGAGTAGCTTTTCCTCACTTGTCCATTTTCCCATTCCACCTCCCCATTGACTGTAAGGGGAGGGAAATTAGCTATGCCAGCCCCAGGCCTGATATACTCTCAGTTCTGATTCACGGAGTGTTTGGGATCCTGGAAACCCAAGGGAGCCCCATCCTGCGCCCTCAACATGCCCATGGAACCCCCTGCTTCAGGCCCTACCACCAGTGGTACATGTACTCCAGTGAGTTTTCCACTGGTATATTGGGTGGTCCTTCATGGACATAGATGCTGCGCTTATGACCCAGTCAGTAGAACAGCATTCAGGCCACCCCCAACAATCTCTCAGGTAGCCTTTGGCTAACTTTTGGACCACTGTGTTGTGTTTGTGATTTGGAAACTATCCCTAAATCATAGAAAATTGTATATCTGTCTGCCTTTGTTTTACATGCTGAAGTGCATTTTCAGCCCCACAATGGGTAGACCGATGTGAACTAAGTCATCTAAACATTCTATAAATGTACTCTTATACTAATGTTCTTGCCTCTTTCTTTCATCCTCTATTTTTATTGTAAGCTCCTTGCGGCAAAAACCTATTGTTTGTTAGAGCTCCGTGTGTGTGTGTTGCATATCTATATCTAACCGTCTATCTATATCTCAGTGCCGTTTTTATACTTTTGAAGATCTGGGGTTTTTTATTACTTAGGAAAGTAGCAAAAGGTCTCCCAACACCTGATGAATTGCTAAGCAGCTTGAAAGACATTGAAAACATTCAACGGCAAACCAGAGATGACTTTGCAAAGTTAAATGGAACAATAGAAGAAACCAAAACAAAAATCGCAAAGGTATCCTTCTTTACAGTTAACTTTCATCAGAGACTATTCAAAAGCAAGTAAGAGAATGTGCCAACAAGAGAATTTCACTAACATTAATTTTCTTAGGCTTCCAGTTCTTCATTCAATTGGCTTCAACCCATTATCAAAGCAGTCTGTGGGTTTTTCTTTTTAATGTTATTGATGTACAGTGGTACCTCAGGTTACATACGCTTCAGGTTACAGACTCTGCTAACCCAGAAATAGTGCTTCAGGTTAAGAACTTTGCTTCAGGATGAGAACAGAAATCGTGCTCCAGCGGCGTGGCTGCAGCAGGAGGCCCCATTAGCTAAAGTGGTGCTTCAGGTTAAGAACAGTTTCAGGTTAAGAACAGACCTCCAGAACGAATTAAGTACTTTCCCCCCCCCAGTACATTTTTACATATTTCTGTCTTAAAGGGGGGAGGGCAGGATGAAGCTGCCAAGTATTTTCCGCTTTCAAAAGACTCCCTTTATCACAGTTATTTCTCTGCACTTTGAACTTCAGCATAGTAGTGGGGTGGACCAGGCGCCAACTCCCACATGGCTCCTGTTGATTAAGCCCTACCATTCCCACTTTGGAGCTTATTCCTGTCTCAACTTTGTGGGCCATATCAGTCAGGTGGGTGGGAATAGCCTGGTGGAATGAGTTGCTTAGATAACAATGTTCCTTCCCAAACTGGTGCTGACAGAGGAAAATAATTTTTTATACCAGGACAGTTTTATATGTGCCCCTCCATAAGTCTGTTCTATCCCATTTCTACATAAATCTGTGATTTTTGTATTTTAAAAATCCTTCACCAGCAGATACCAGGTTGGGTTATAACAATTTTAAAATGCATTTTTTAAAAAGCATGCCAGCTTTTAGGATACATCCCCCCATGCCCTGTTGATTTATTTATTAACTCCTTACTTGATTTGCTATTTAAAAAATGTACCTCCCATCCACACTAGAGCAGTGTTTCCCAACCTTGTTTGGGCAAAGGCACACTTGTTTCATGAAAAAAATCTCGAGGCACACCACCATTACAGCCCCGTGACGTCAGCGCGCAGCGTCACGCCGGGAGGGACATGAATTGCTAGCAAATTACATAATCACCTCCTTGAGGGCTGGCTCATCTTCTCCGAAGGCAGAACCCCATTAATTAACAGCACAGACTCACACCATAGCCAAGACGAGGGGGGAAAACCTCAGTCATGCACAGTCATGCACATGTGGGGGCTAAATGAGGACGAAGACTGGGCAGAGAGCAGGGTTCAAATCACCCCACCTGGCCAGGACAATCCCTGGGTGCTCCCTTGGGCCACTCGCCTGACCCACCTCGCAGGGCTGTTGTTGCGAGGATAACACGGGGAGAACCACGCGCGCCCCCGGGAGCTCCTTGGAGGAGAAAGCGGGCGATGAATGCAATGCACGAAATATATGAGAGGCGACCAGGTTTTGCAGGTGAGGGGCCCCCGCCAGCCTCCGCTTCCAACACCCGGCGCAACGACGCCGAAGTTTCCCCCCGGGCTCGGCTCGGGGAGCAGCGCTGCTCCCCCCGGCTCCCCTTCGCCCTCTCGGCTCTCTCTGCCGCCCACTGGGGCCCCCCCTCACCTGCCAAGTCCGGAGCGCCGGTGGAAGTTGCATGCATGCATGCAGGGCGCCGCGTTGCCATTGCATTGCACTGCACTCCATGCAACGCCTGCACGCATGCATTGCCTTGCACGCCCGCCAAGGGGTCTCCCCGCGGTCCGATGCGTCCCCTCCGGCGCGGATGCAGCATTGCAAAAATAAAAAAGCCCCGACGCAGCCCTACCTGGGGGGCAGCCTCCGCCTCCGCCGCTCCGCCTCCGTGGGGATCCCCGGGCTCCATCCTGCCGCCTGATCTCCGGGGGGCGCAGGCAGGCTGTGCGGGGTCTGCGCGGAAGAGCCCCTGCCCACCCGGCCGCCGCCGCTGCGCTCATTCCATGGCCGGGAGAAGAGCGCTTCAAACAAAACGCCCGGCCCGCCAGGCCACGCTAGGAAACGTAGTTTGCGCACCCCGCGCGGGCGCGGAGCCCAAGGGCGAGGGGACTACGGATCCCGGCAGCCCCCGCGCCGGGGACGGAGGGGGAGAGGCCGGGTGCAGGGATGGAGGGACGGGTGGGTGAGCGAGTGAGTGAGTGGCAGCCGCCAAGCCTTGGCCGAGAGCCAGGAAGGGCCTCCCAGGAGGAGGAGGGAGGCGCAGAGCGGGAGGGAGGGAGGGAACCCCAGGGGTCATCTAGTGACGGCGCCCCAATCGAAAATTTGACTTAAAAAAAAAAATCTTTCAATTTTTTAATTTTTCCGTTGGGAAACACTGCACTAGAGTATAGCTATGGAATCCTTGCTTAGTCTGTTTTGTGCATCTGAAGGAGCAGACCCATTGAAATCATTGGGCCTAAGTAACTTAAGCCCATTGATTTCAGTTGGTCTCCTCCAAAATTGTCTTGTTGGGTAATGAGTTACAAGCATCCCGTTGATTACATGATGATTCTTCTGCAGGCTGCGAACCAAATGAACAAGACGGATGATGAATTAGTGGACTTTTCAGAAAAGCAGTCAGAGCTGGAAGATGAAATCGCTTCCTTGAAGACAAAATTGCAGATGAGCAGGGGCCAAGTCACCAATGCTAAATCGGAGGCCGAAAAAAGCACAGAATCAAGCTGTAGCGACTAATAAGGTAATGCTGTAAGCTCACAATTTACACAGGGGTTATGTTCTGAGAGGGACGCGGGTGGCGCTGTGGGTTAAACCACAGAGCCTAGAACTTGCTGATCAGAAGGTCGGCGGTTCGAATCCCGCGACGGGGTGAGCTCCTGTTGCTCAGTCCCTGCTCCCGCCAACGTAGCAGTTCGAAAGCACGTCAAAGTGCAAGTAGATAAATAGGTACCACTCTGGCGGGAAGGTAAAAGGCGTTTCCGTGCACTGCTCTGGTTCGTCAGAAGCGGCTTAGTCATGCTAGCCACATGACCTGGAAGCTGTACGCCAGCTCCCTTGGCCAATAAAGCGAGATGAGCGCCGCAACCCCAAAGTCATCCGCGACTGGACCTAATGGTCAGGGGTCCCTTTACCTTTACATTCTGAGAATCCCACCTAAAGAACACCCAAAATTGTGTTCTTCACACTGGCAACTGTGTAAAAAAACCCAGACAAACGCTACAGTTAAAGGCACTGAATTACTCTATATCCAGATTACCAGCATACCTAGACTGAAGGAATTTTAAAAAGTTAATGACCTCAAGCTGTTGCAAATTTCTGATATCACGAGTTCAACACAAGCATAGTCTCAGTATGGGATTGACTAGAGTAAACCATATCATGACATGCCAAATGGAGGGGCTCATTTTGCGGTTAAAATGGGGGTGGGGATAGACATCTCAATTGGCCTTAAGCCAATATATTGTCCTATCTCTAACACCATTTTGGTTTGTTGCAAATAAAATATTTTAATCAATTCATGAAGTAGGCAAATATACCTTTGGCTCAAGCATCCCTTGTATAATCCCTAGTGGAAAGAAATAAGTGCAAAAGCCGGGATGCCATATTTGAGTAGAGTACAACCAATCACGGGACGCGGGTGGCGCTGTGGGTTAAAGCCTCAGCACCTAGGACTTGCCGATTGAAAGGTCGGCAGTTCGAATCCCCGCAGCGGGGTGCGCTCCCGTCGTTCGGTCCCAGCGCCTGCCAACCTAGCAGTTAGAAAGCACCCCCCGGGTGCAAGTAGATAAATAGGGACCGCTTACCAGCGGGAAGGTAAATGGCGTTTCCGTGTGCTGCACTGGCTCGCCAGAGCAGCGATGTCACGCTGGCCACGTGACCCGGAAGTGTCTGCAGACAGCGCTGGCTCCTGGCCTATAGAGTGAGATGAGCACACAACCCTAGAGTCTGTCAAGACTGGCCCGTACGGGCAGGGGTACCTTTACCTTTACCTTACAACCAATCACATGCTATAATAATCTCAACCTCTTATCATTGTGGCAGAGAACAGGAAAGGGAGAGAATCTACAACTGCCAGGGGCCTTGCAAACCATCCAGGACCCCTGCAAGAATAAAATGTTAGCTGTGGTGCCATTAATCCACTTTAATTTCATTCAGATTCTGATTGACCTGAGATCTTTACTCTCTTTGTTGGAATTCACAAGAATAAAAGTCAGAAGGGTATTCTGCTTTGTTTTTTGTTTTTGTTTTGAATGTATGTATAATGACAGCATTAATGAAGTCTGAAGGTGAAAGTCAAATAGGATAGTGGGACTCTCCCTCTTTCTTAACATGTTGGATTACTTACTGAGATTTATTTATTTATTTTTACTGCCAGAAATAGTATGTTTATTTTTCTTCCATGGTGGTATTTTTTCTTCAGTGACAATGTTTATTTTTTGGCCATAAAAATTGTTGCTTGATTAAACCTTTAAAAAGCAAGCAAGAAAAACCAGACAACTAAATTTTGTAGCAGAGGTATAAAAAACAATAACACTTTTCATTGGGAAATATTGTCGTTACAGGAATTTGCTAATCTTAAAAAAGAATATGCCGGTTTACAAGAAAAGCTCAAAGCCAAAGGCCTTCCTTTGGAAACCTTAGAGAAACTGAATCGGTTGAGAAATGAGGCTGAGAAACTGGCTAAAGAGACTGAAAAGAAAATGAAAAGAATAGCAGGTATATATATTGAATTTACATACCCATTCAATGATTCTTGCATGTTCCTCAGTGAATTATCGGGCGTCCCTCAATGAGAATATCAGTAATGATGCAAAAACATCCCAGAATATAGCTTGTCTTCCACCACTGGTCTTTTCCTACAATACACGGCCACAGGGAATGTTCTGGGTCAGGGGTAGGGAGACTCCATGCTTGTGCAATATATTGAGATGCACCAATACAAGCCAGGTACAAAATAGTGGCTCAGTGGAAAAAGCCAATTACAGTGGTACCTTGGTTTAAGAACAGCTTAGTTTATGAACAACTTGGATTAAGTTTGTGAACTTTGCCTTGGAAGCAGAACATGTTCCGCTTCCTGTTGAGTGTGTTCCATTTGTAAATTGAGTCCCCCGCTGCTATGGGAAAGCACACCTTGGTTTAAGAACCCTTTGGTTTAAGAACGGTCTTCTGGAACGGATTAAGTTCGTAAACCAAAGTACCACTGTAGTTACTGTTAGAATTCCTGCTCCGTGATTGCAGTCATGGGATTTTTGTCTATCACATGATGGTGTATGTTTTGACTCCACAGAGTGGGAAGTGACGGAGACAGGATGTTTGTGTTCCTGTGTTCCGTGAAGTGGGACTATTGTCCTTTGTTCTTTCTCTCTTTGCTGTCTGATGCTAGAGAGAGAGAGAGAGAGGGAGCCATGTTGCAGTGCTCTCTGTGTGTTTATATGTAAATAAAGTAGATTAGCCAAAATGCTGAGTTGCTGAGGTCTGTTAACGCAACTGCGCAAACTCTGCAGATCCCTAAGTGTGCCGATGTCTGTTGGCATTGGTTGCTGTGATGTTCGGGCAGAAGAAAGCTTTTGAAGCTCCCGAACGAAAAACCAGGAGGGAGAGAACATGCCAGTCTTCTTATGTCCTCAGATCAGAGTTTCTGCTAACCGCGGGAGGGAAGCGGATGTGGAAGACAGGACTGTGAAATGAAAAGGAACTATAGCTGCATTATTCTGCCTCCCTCCTTGCCCCAGGAGATTTAAAGGCCCATATTTGGTGTCTGGGTTGCAAGATGGCAGCCCTAATGCAGAGGTTCCTTGACTGCCAAGCCAAAATGAAAAAGAGGTCTTTCAAAGGAGAAAGTTTGGAAACTCACAGTTTTTTTGGGGGGCAGTGATTTACAAGGATTTTACTTACTTAATTGTACATAACCACCTGATGTTTTCTTTTTTTAATTTCAGATTTGGAAAATAAGATACAGGATCTGAACCGGATTAAACAAAACAAGGCTGATCAGCTGAGACAACTGGAAGATCAAGTCACAGCTATCAAAGATGAGATTATGCAGCAGTCAAATAAATACGCTATTTGCAAAAGTTAATGAGTCTAATAATCTAACAATATAACTGTAAATGAACAAAGAGCTTTCCACGACCACTTTGTAATGATGAACAGTTTATAAATTGTATAATTATAACATCTAAGGTGATGTTGTGTGGTTTTCTGTGCTAGTCCTTTACCTTTATGGGGATCGGTACTTTGCAGGGATGAGGTACACTACAGTATATGGATTGCTTTGCTGCTACACCAGGCACCCCCAAACTCGGCTCTCCAGATATTTTGGGACTGCAACTCCCATCATCCCTATCTAACAGGACCAGTGGTCAGGAATGATGGGAATTGTAGTCGCAAAACATCTGGAGGGCCGAGTTTGGGGGTGCCTGTGCTACACCGTTATTTAGAAACTTAAGGATAGTTTTCTTCTCACACACTAGGTGGCAGCAAGAAACTATTTAAAATTTTCATCTAGGAATGACTTAAAAGCATATTATTTCCTTTTTTAAAAAGTAAATTACCACAGAAGAGGAGCCTGTTAGATCAGGCCACTGGCCCTCTAGTACTGCATCTGTTTTCACAGTGACCAATCAGATGCCTGTGAGATGCCTGCAAGCTGGACATAAGCTCAACAGCATATTAGCAATTTAGGACAATTCACTCTATTAGCAGAAATTAATGGCATAGTAGGCAAGAAATGAAGCAGAGTGCTACTTGTAAAGGGACGCGGGTGGCACTGTGGATTAAACCACAGAGCTTAGGACTTGCCGATCAGAAGGTTGGCGGTTCGAATCCCAGCAACAGGGAGAGCGCCCGTTTCTCAGTCCCTGCTCCTGCCCACCTAGCAGTTCGAAAGCATGTCAAAGTGCAAGTAGATAAATAGGTACCACTCCGGTGGGAAGGTAAACAGTGTTTCCGTGCGCTGCTCTGGTTTGCCAGAAGCGGCTTAGTCATGCTGGCCACATGACCCGGAAGCTGTACGCAGGCTCCCTCGGCCAGTAAAGCGAGATGAGCGTCGCAACCCCAGAGTCAGTCACGACTGGACCTAATGATCAGGGGTTCCTTTACCTTTACCTTAGGCAAGAAATGAAGCAGAGTGCTACTTGTAAAAGTATTTTAACTGTTTAAGCCCCACAGCAAGCATGGCAAATCATCCAGATGTTGATGAACTACATATCCCATCATTCCTGGCTGTTGGCTATGGTGGAAAAGGCAGGTGGGAGTTGGGTCAACCTCTGCCCTACAGCATGTCCAGTTGTGCAATCAGTACCAAGATCAGTTAACAGCAGAAGCGGAGCAATAGTCATCAAATGGAAACTATAGCAGCATTTTATGAATTGTCAGCTGAACTTAGCTACATGCAAGGAAATGGCTAATTTGGCCCATCCCAATGGGCTACATTCTCCTGTCCATTTATTCACCCATGTAGGGATGGCCAGACATTCATCAATATTGAAATTCTGATGGCATGTGCTCCATCACCTGTAGGAAGTGGTATGTAACTTGAGCATGCATCTTGCATGCTCGATATTTGCTGATTTCCTTCCATCTATTTTTGTTCTGGTGTGCTTTGATTATGCTAATCTGGTATGTCATACATAAATCGGGCAGTGTCATGCATACGAGTGGTAGCCTGTGTGGCACCCTCTAGAGGCTGTGAACTACAACACATTATTCTTGAGCATTGGCCCTGCTACCTGGGGTTGAGGGGAGTTGTAATCCACAATATCTGTTGGGTACCTGATGTAGAAGGGACGCAGGTGGCGCTGTGGGTTAAACCACAGAGCCTAGGACTTGCCGATCAGAAGGTCGGCGGTTCGAATCCCTGCGACGGGGTGAGCTCCCGTTGCTTGGTCCCTGCTCCTGCCAACCTAGCAGTTCGAAAGCACTAAGTGCAAGTAGATAAATAGGTACCGCTCTGGCGGGAAGGTAAACGGTGTTTCCGTGCGCTGCTCTGGTTCGCCAGAAGCGGCTTAGTCATGCTAGCCACATGACCCGGAAGCTGTCTGCGTACAAACACCGGCTCCCTCAGCCAATAAAGCAAGATGAGCGCCGCAACCCCAGAGTCGGTCACGACTGGACCTAATGGTCAGGGGTCCCTTTACCTTTACCTGATGTAGACAGATTACACATGCAATCCAAATTATACTTCGCTTCAAATGGCCAGAGTGGGTTATGAGGGTGCCAGGCCTAAACTCCACAACATGTGATTTTTTAAACCACATTGAGTAACATGTAAAACAGCCCATCAGCTCTCATGCTCATACTTAGACAATTATCCTTTCTTTGTTTCCAAATGCCTCATTGCTTGGAATACAGTCAGCCATACTACAAAGGCTACCACTATCTGAAATTCACCCACAACTGAAAACAGATGTATTTCCAGCCCAAGGGATGAGAAAACTCATCTGCACCACGTACTAATGCTGACAGCTAGGGCTTCTGTTTAGCTGCACCTAATAGTGACAAATGTTTCTCTAATAAATCTGCCATTTAATCTAGTACAATGTCTTAAAACTGCATTTATATGTACTTTGGAAAGAGTATGCAATATATTTTAAGTTAATACTGTATTGCAGAGGACTCAAAACATCAACAGCGATTTTCTATTTGTCACGGATGCTTTAGCTGAGATTCCTTCATTGCAGGGCGTTGGACTAGATGACCCTTTGGTCCCTTCAATCTCTACGATTCTACAGTACATGCAGCTAAAACATTTGTAGAGTGGGATTTTGTTTGTTTGCATGACAAAATCTCAGTCCAGGTTATATCCCTAACTAGTTAGATTAGTTGATTGATCCCATAGGAATTAGATTCATCTTTTCTTTTTTAATTTATTTAATCATTTTTTCTATACAAACATCAACCACAAAAGACACTACAACAAAAACCATAATAACAATAATAACACAATTTGACAACTGAGATTTAAATATACTGATATACTTATGACTGCACCCTTTTAACAATATTTTCCCACCTCTCTCTCCTCCCACTTCCCCCCACTTATCGCTTAAATATTCATTCCAGATTTCTTCATATTTATCCATACTTAATTTGTGTCAACATGCAATTCGTTCATATGTAGCTAATCTGTCCATATTATCAATCCATGTGCTCAATGGAATTAGATTCGTCTTGTCATTGAGATGTTAATTTTCCCATGGAAGCCAATTTTGTTTTTAATAACTGCACCTGGACCTAACCCAAAACCAATTCACAAATCATGGTTGGGCTAGAAACACAGGAAACCATGCTATTCCATGTCAGGTTTTTTGTACGTATAACCTAATATTGTCTAGTCTGATTTGCAGTGGTCGCCAGGTCTTATACAGAGGCTTTTCACATCTGTGGCTCCTACCTTATTCCTAGAGGTGCCAGGGACTAAAACCCAGAGCTCATATAACTCAAGCATGGGTTAGGTAAAGGTAAAGGGACCCCTAACCGTTAAGTCCTGTCGTGACCGACTCTGGGATTGCAGTGCTCATCTCGCTTTATTGGCCGAGGGAGCCAGCGTACAGCTTCCGGGTCATGTGGCCAGCATGACTAAGCAGCTTCTGTCAAACCAGAGCAGCACATGGAAACGCCATTTACAGTGGTGCCTCGCAAGACGAAATTAATTCGTTCCGCA